GTCAGGGATCCTGAATTTGGGGAAAGAAACAAATCCAGATCCAGGAGGCAAAGAAAGACCCCACCAAACAAAATCACCCCAAGGAGATATACACCATAACACATAGTAATTAAAATGACAGAAAGTAGTTATGAAGAATTTTAAAAACAACAAGAGAAAATAAAACAGTTACATACAATAAAAACCCCCATAAGGCTATCAGTTGTTTTTAGCAGAAGCTTTGCAGGTCAGAAGGGGGTGGCATGATATGTTCAAAGTACTGAAAGAAAAACCTGCACTAAGAATAGTCTACCAAACAAAGCTATAATTCAGAATAGAAGGACAGATAAAGAGTTTCCCAGACAAAAGTTAAAGGAATTCATCACCACTAAACCAGCCTTACAAGAAATGTTAAAGGTGATTCTTTGGGTAGAAAGGAAAGAAGCAAGAGTAAGTAAAGTAGGAAGCACAAAAGCGGTAAAATTAAATATGTCTATAAAAACCAGTCAAGGGATTCACAAAATAAAAGATTATGACACCATACACCTGAAACAAGAAGAATGGGTTCACATTGTGACCATCAACTTAATTTAGACTGCTATATGCATAAGATGTTATGTATAAACCTAATGGTAGCCACAATAAAAAACTGGTAGTACATATGCAAGAAGTAAAGAGAAAGAGATCCAAGTATATCACTAAAGCCAACAAACGACGAGAGAAGAGAGCAAAAGAAGAAAGGAACAGAGAAAAACAAAACAACCATAAAACAAGTACCAAATGAGAGTAAGTACATACCTATCAATAATTACTTTGAATGTAAATGGACTAAATGTTTCAATCAAAAGTAGGGTGACAGAATGTATAAAAAAGCAAGAGTTGTCTATATGCTCCCTATAAAAGATTCTTCAGATCTAAAGACACCTCCAGATTAAAAGTGAAGGGGTGAAAAAGCATTTGCCATGCAAATAAGAGTGGAAATAAAGCCAGGTTAGCAACCCTTATATCAGACAAAATAATTTTGGAATTATTCATGCAATAGTATTTTTTTATTCATGCAATAGTATTAATCATAACAACAATAATATAATTTCCTTGTAGACTGTCTTCATGATTCAAGAAAAAAGATATTTCTTCTCCTTGAAATTACCATCTGTATCCCACCCTCTTCCACATTCTCCATCCATTTATTCGTCCTCCTCTTTGTCTATCCGATTCAAAGGCCTTCCCTTGCACTGTGTCTCCCTGACCTTTGTGTCCTCTAAATACGAATATGATATTTAACAATGTCTATTTCACCTCTGACTGCAGAGGCAGCTGCAGCCATCAAGTAAATGGATTGGCTTCCCTGCCAAGTTGTGGCCTCACCCTTTTTTTTTTTAATATTTTTTTCTTTATTTATTTATGATAGTCACAGAGAGAGAGAGAGAGGCAGAGACACAGGCAGAGGGAGAAGCAGGCTCCACGCACCGGGAGCCCGACGTGGGATTCGATCCCGGGTCTCCAGGATCGCGCCCTGGGCCAAAGGCAGGCGCCAAACCGCTGCGCCACCCAGGGATCCCCTGGCCTCACCCTTAATGATCATCCTTCCAGGCTGCCTAGCCAGCCAGAAGTGCCCATATCCAGCCTCAGCTAAGATCCTGAGTCTATTCCAAATGCCATCCTATATCCTCAATCCAATATCTCCAGTTGAATGCCTCAAATGCACCTTGAGCTCATATTCCAACATTCTCAATTTCAGTCAATAGTCTTGCCATCCAAACAAGTTTGAAATCCAGGTCAGCCTTTGGCCATAATACTCTACACACAGTGCTGAGAAATTGTGACTGCCTCAAGTAAGTCTGCTCTGATGCATGGGCGTGTCTCTTTTGTGATGAGTCCTAATATTATCAGCATTTTCTATCCAATACCAATTCACCATGCATCTTATACACTGTCAGCATGCAGTGATCATTATTGGGTAGTTGATTATTTCATGCACCATTGAAACACATTTGTATCCTACTTCTATTGCTATTTTTGCATTTATAATATATGTAATATATATGATATTTATAATAGCATAATAGCAGCATATGCATTTATAATATATATAATATATACGATATTTATAATAGCATAATAGCAGCATATGCTATTTAATAGCATTTATTAGCTAGAAATTCTAATGAAGTACAAAGAAATGTTCACAGTCTTCTATTTGGTTAACTCAAAATAAGTCTGTATAGAAAAGAGAAGAATAGTTATTTGGATCACAAACATCACCCTCAAATAATAACGAAATGTTTTTTGTTTTGGTTTTTTAGAGAGACAGAGCAAGTGTGAGGAAGGAGTTTACTGGAGGGGCAGAGGGGGAGAGAGAATTAGGTGGTTTGTTTATTTATTTATTTATTTATTTATTTATTTATTTATTTATTTTAGGTAGAGAGAACATATGAGTGGGGGAGGGGCAGAGAAAGAGGGAGAGAGAATCCTCAAGCAGACTCCCCACTGCATGGGACCCTGAAATCATGACCCTAGTCAAAACCAAGAGTTGGATGCTCAACCCACTGAGCCACCCAGGTGCCCAAAAAAATTTATCTCAGGGATAAGATGCCCCCTTTGCTCACGTGCTCAGATTGTTTTCAGAGTAGCCACTATCACAGCAGGAAAAAAAATCTGGCAAGTGGCTCTTCTTTTCATATAAGTCTAAGATTTCAAAATGAATTGTATCTGTCTTAGTTTGTTAGGTCTGCTATAAGGAAATACCACAGACTGAGTGGCTTATAAACAACAGAAATTTATCTCTCACAGTTCTGGAGGCTGGAAGTCCAAGATTAAGGTCCTGGCAGATTTGGTGTCTAGTGAGAGCCCACTTTCTGGTTCGCCGACAGCCTTCTTGCTGTGTCCTCACATGGTGGAAGGGGCAAGGATCTCTTTTATAAGGGCACTAGTTCCATTTTAAGGCAGAGCTCTCATGACTTAGTCACCTCCCAAAGGTCCCATCTCCTAATACCATCACATTAGGCATTAGGTTTCCAACATATGAATTGAGGGGGACACAAACATTCAGATCATAGCAGTATTTGTGTTAGGAAATTCAGTTAGAAATATATTTGGGGGTGGGGAACAGATAGGATTGCTGGGGTTGGAATACTGAGATGTATACATGCAGAGGTATGGGCAGAAGGAGAGAGAGAAAATCTTAAGCAGGTTCCATGCCCAGCGTGGAACCCAACATGGGACTAAATCTCACAATCCTGAGATCATGAACTGAGAGGAAATCAAGAGTTGGATGCTTAACCGATTGAGCCACCCAGGCACCCTGTTTCCTTTTGCCATTCCTCATTCATTTCCTATGTCATGACCCTAGCTGACTTCTTTCTTCTTTGTCCCTTGATTGCACATACCAAAGCCTACAAAATTGATTCTGAAGCTTTGATCAACATGTAGTTGAAGAGAAATAATATTTGTTGGTTGCCAACTATTGAAAGCATGCATTATAGGACTAACATTGCAGTGTGTACATTCAGGTTTTCTTTGGGTTCCTGTTCTGCTGGATGGAATCTATAATATATTGCCTTACATTTTGGGAATACATTTTTTAAAAATAGAAAAGGCAGAATAAATATAAGGATACTTGGATAATGATAAGCTTAAAATTATAATTTGTGTCAACCTCGCATTTTAGGTAAATTAAATCTATATATTCCACATAAAATCTGAAGAAGCTTCATAAACTTATTTAAAAATTTATAGAAAACAAAATTTTCACTATTCCCTACCTGTTTCAGGGACACACAACATTTTCCTCCCCAATATCCCAATAATGGCTGCTTATGTGAAGTCTTTCCTCTCCTTACCCTCAGTGGACATACTGAAACTCACAAAGTTGACTCCAAAGCCTCAGTCTGAGCGTATTTGAAGAGCAACAAGATAATGTTTATTAGTTCAAAGCTGTGAATGAAGGTACTTGTATCTAAGGGACACTATGATAAAATATATCATGTGCTACTCCCCCATATAGTGAATGCGGGAATAAGTCCCCCTGTGGAGTCTTTAAGCAACACTACAAGGCTGCTCAGTGATATATGAAATTAAAGAATTTATTACATTCACAGCTCCTAGAAGAGGGAGGCACCACACCCCATACAAGAAGCCAGATGGAGCCAGGGAATTGACTCAATCAAGCAGGTGGAGATCCCAGAGAGGCAAGTATCATTATTGGGAGTCAAGGGGGAGTACACAGACACAGGAATTTCATTAATGCAGTGGAATGTCACTAGATCACAGGGAAGGACAAGAAAAGGAATTGGTATAGGGAACTAGCCTTATTATCATACTGGTGTACCTGGTCACGTGGGCTCTCAGCCTGCATGTAGGATGTTGAAGCAACAAGAGAATGTGGTTTTAAAAATTTACAACACTAGGGGATCCCTGCGTGGCTCAGAAGTTTAGCGCCTGCCTTCAGCTCAGGTTGTGATCCTGGGGTCCTGGGGTCCAGGGATCGAGTCCCACGTCGGGCTCCTGCATGGAGCCTACTTCTCTCTCTGCCTGTGTCTCCGCCTCTCATGAATAAATAAATAAATAAATAAATAAATAAATAAATAAATAAATAAATAAATAAATAAATAAATAAATAAAATCTTAAAAAAAAATTACAACACTAGCTCCATGAGGCACTTACAAAATAAAAAGACACAGGGTAGCCTGGGTGGCTCAGCGGTTTAGCGCCCCCTTCGGCCCAGGGCGTGATCCTGGAGGCCCGGGATCGGGTCCCACATCGGGCTCCCCCGAGGGAGCCTGCTTCTCCCTCTGCCTGTGACTCTGCCTCTCTCTGTCTCTCATGAATAAATAAATACAATCTTTTAAAAAATAAAAAGACATAGAAAACGCAATTTGGGTGCATTCCTCCTCCCAAAAATGTGGGTGCATCCCTTTAGGAGTATCCGATGCCGCCCTCTTCTTCGGATCTGCACACCCTTACCCAGCGCCCCTGTCCTTGGACAATGCCCTCTTCGCTCCTGGAAAGAGTGTAGCAACCCTCCGCGCGCCGGAGTCAGGACAAATACTACATTACCCGGGAAGCTGTGTCACAGGAAAGGGCGTTGCCGGCCCCGCTGGCGGGGCGGGACTTCCAGCGTCGCGGGTGGGCGTGTGTTTGTGACGTGGCGGGTAGGTGCTAGCCGACTGTGAGCTTCCGCTTGTCCGGCGGGAGAGGGGAACGGTGGCCGCGCGCTCCTCCCGCCTCTCTGTGGGACCGGACGGGGAGAGCCGGCTAACCCTGCGACAGCCCCCCAGCGCCCTCGTGCGGCCCGATGGCGGTGCCCGTGCACCCGGCGCAGGTGAGTGGCCGTTCGGGATGGCGGTGCCCTGTGACCCCGCGCCTGGCCTCCGCGGCCGCTGTTTCTCCGAAGGCAGGTCGGAGGCACGTGGGGGTAGCGCCGGTCTCTGGCAGCCGGGGGGGATGCCGTGTGGAAGGGACGGCGTGACTTGTGTAGGCGACCCTTCCCGAGGCCGTGACCTTGCAAGTGTCCCCCTGCTGCACTGGGTGTTGATAGTTCTTCTCCTAGGGTGAGGGAACTAGAAGGATCCGGGGATGATGTGCATCCCCTGGTGTCCAACGGGTCCCGGGAGCCTTGCTCTTGGAGCTCTTTCCTCGAGGATGCCCGTGTGTCTTGGCTCACCCCAGCGGGAACCTGAGCCTTGCGCCCTCCTGGCCTCAAGCTCTACAGCTGAGGGCTGGGGTGGAAGAGAGACAGGAGCGGTTTTTGGAATTGCTGCTGTGCTGGGGCAGAAACGGTTGGAAGGGCAGGCTGGGAGCCAGTTAGGCCAAGCAGTTTATCCTTCCAGTTAGAGTAAGTGGAACTGGCTTTCCCCTGACAGTAGTGAATCTGCTTTCTTAAGACATTCAGTTAGTGGTGCCATACTGCGAGACGCCTTCCGTGTTGCCCCATGTAAAGGGGACTACAATCTCTTTAGTCCCCTTGCTCTGTTTTCTTGTCTTTGGATTCTTTAGGGCCCTCTGACATTGTCTTGCTGATTTTAGTTGCTTGTTTAGGATCTGTTTCTAGCCCTGGATCGTGAGCACCTGTGGCTGCTCTATGCTGAGACCTAGTTGGCCTGGGCTTGTAAAAGGTATTCAATAAATGGCTGAATGAGTGAATGGGCCTCCCCTTCAGGGGCTCCCAAGATACTTCTGTTAAATGCATGCAGACCCCTCCGTGGGCCCCAGGCTCTGCTCCATCTGCCCCTGGACTTACCTCGGTGCTCCTCTTCCTTTCTTCCCTTGCTCACTGCACCCACCTAGGTGATGCTGAATTTGCCAGAGTCCTTACCATTTTGCAGCCTTTGCCCCAGGCCCTCTCCCCAGGTCCCTGCAGGGCTGTCTCTCTGCACTCCTCCTGTACATCAGTGTCACTGCTGAGACTAGCCTTTCCTGGGTGCTTTATTTCTAATTGAGATGCTGTGGGGGGACGCCTAGGTGGCTCAGCGGTTGAGTGTGTCTGCCTTCAGCTCAGAGTATGATCCTGGAGTTCCCGGATGGACTCCCACATGGGGCTCCCTGCATGGAGCCTGCTTCTCCCTCTGCCTGTGTCTCTTACCTCTCTCTCTCTGTGTATCATGAATTTAAAAAAAAAAAAATGCTTTGGGCCCTTACCTGCCTGTTTTCTGGTAATTCTGTCATCTTTTGCTGGATGTTCAGATCCTGTCTTAACTCCTTAAATGTGAGATTGTGGGTGACTTTCTAGAGCTGCCTGAGCCTCAGGCTGCTGGCTGTGACATGGAGGTGATGGTGGCATTCACCTTGTGGGCTGTGGGAGGATTAATAAAAGTCACAAAATACGTTGAGCACATACCAGGCCAGGTACTCCGCTGTTTGCACTGTGAGCGTTTTGTCTTTAGTTCTCAGAACTGCCTGGTGAAATGGGGATGATTATTGTATTGATGTGGAAATCAAGGCTTGGAGAAGTGATATGATGTCCTCCTCGTGATCACAGCCTACAAGTGTCAGAGTCAAGAATCTTGATTCAGTCCCTGGGAGTCTGGCTCCAGAACTACGGACTTCTAGTCACTAGTCACCTTCCTCTGTGTGGGAAGCCCTTAGCTGGGGGTGGGCATGAGGGGAGGACCAGGGAGACTCAGCTACCATTGCTGCTGTTGTCATTGTTGGAAATTATCATCATGAACATTTTCCCTGTTCCTCTAATGTCCCTGATGACGTACTGCCTGCCCCCACAGTTATCAGGGGAGTGCTATTGTCTGTCATCGCAGTGGCTTTCCCAGGGGAAGTTTTTCTCAGCCATAATTGCATTGTGTCAAAGGTTGCATCTCCCTCTCCCTTGAGCCCAGCTCAGAGCTCGGCCCTCAGGAGGCTTTGGTGATTCAGGCCTGGGTCTCTGCACCTTCACCAAAGACTGGGTCTGACCCCACCCAGCTGCATGAGGCCAACCTCATTATCTCTGTTTGGCTTTCCAGGTTTTGGTGACCTTCAAGGATGTGGCTGTGACCTTCACTCGGGAAGAGTGGGGGCAGCTGGACCTGGACCAGAAGGCCCTGTACCAGGAGGTGATGCTGGAGACCTATGGGCTTCTGGTCTCACTGGGTAAGGGTTCATCTCTCATCCCTGTGGGTCAAGCCAGCCTTCTTGATTTCCAGCTGATCAAGAAGGTCATAGGAGCCATCTTCCCTCCTCCCCAAAGATCATACAGTTTTCTGGCTCCTTCTCATCCAGGATCATTGGGACAGAAACAACTTCTGAACACGAACCCTCACCCCAATACCCAGCACATTCAGGCTTCAATCTGAAGTCCACATTCCAGATTCCACAGGAGCCTGGTTGGGTCAGACATCCCAGGATCCAATAGCAGGGCTGTGAGGGATGGGCTGTTCTCAGGAGAGAGTCTGGCAGATCCCTATATGGCATTTGTCATCAGTGCCCCTCAAGGATCTTCCTAAACAATAGTCTCTGTAAAGAGACCCTTGGTATCTCCATGTACATCACCTGTTCTCCTGAGGCCTGGGTCACAGTCCTGCACTGGGGCAGGAGCTGCTTTAGAAGGTACATGGGAATGTCACAGAATGCTAGGAGTGGACACCTTGAGAAAACCAGTCCTTTTACCTTCTCAGCCTGGAATGCTGATTGGTGTCAAGAGAAAGTCTCAGAACAGTTCTGAGTATTTCATGTGCCCTAATTGTGTCCAACTTTTCTCTTCAATAGAAGGAACAGCCTCTAGCTCACAATCTGAGCTATCTACTGAACTTGCTAGGACTCTACTGGCATTACTTTGATTTCCTTGTTGTGTTTTGATGGTAACCTGCCACTTGTGGAAAGTGAACCTGACTTTTCTCATTTACCAGAGCAAAACAGAGTTCCCTTTTATAACAAAATATGTAACAAAAATTAAAAGTGGTATGTTTAAAGAGAAGCCATCAGTGACAGTGGCACCAGTCACTCTGAGTTCAGATGGGAAGGCAGATGTCAATCTTAAATGAATTGTGATGAGTCATACATAGAAAAATTAGGGGAACTTAGGAATATGTAGCCAGGTGGTCATAACCCATCATGGGTACTTCATGGTTGCTTCAGAAAAGGCATCTCTGGAAGTGACATTAGAACTGAGACTTGAAGCTTGGAGGGGAGGTGGAGGAGGGGTTTTAGTTTACTGGAGGAACCAGTACATGAAAAGGCCCTGAGGTGACAGTGAGCTCCACTCCTGGAAGAGCCAGAGGAGGGTCTGGCTCACATTTCTATTGCCCCTCCCTGAACTTGGTACCAGGCAGGTAGCACACACTGGTGACCATTACCGAGACCTGTTCCAGTGAGTCCGGGGCTGAGGATCAGAATTTTCCAGTTGAGACTTCAGTGGGTTCTGGGGCCTCAGTCACTAGACTTCTGTACAGAACCCACCTGTCTCTGTTGAGATGTATCTGGCTGCACGTGACAGCAGCTAAACCTGGCTTCCCCTGAAGGAGATGCCCCATCTCCCCTCATGAGAAGCCCCAGGGTGGGGCTGGCCCCCTTGGTGAAGGTAGCAGCCACATAGTTCTGTCTTTAGCGATGTAAGGTTCTCTCTGCTCGTCACCCTTGTGGGCCTATGAGGTGCTAAAGCCAGGACTGAGGAAACAGCCCCCTCATTCAGCCTCCTCTCACGTTGGAACAAAGGCTTTGTCTTCAGTTCGGGTTACCTGTTTGCCTCAGATTACCAGTGATCAGAGATGCCATTCCCCGATTTCTTCCCCTGGCAGTTTTCAGTTCTCTCTGAAAGACAGAATTCCCTAGGAAGAGCTCAGAAATATCATGGCTAGGCCTCACCCCAAGCAGTTTGGTATCTTTTGGTTTGAGGTTGGAATCAAGCATCCTTAAGTGGTTCTGAAGCACAGGGTGTTTAAGAACAGTGACTTAAATTAATTACAGAATCCTTTCTGGAAGGAGGGGCTCCCATTCCCAGGCTCTCAGCTGTGTGTGAAAGTGGTATGCCCCTGAGTAGGATTGGCTTCTACTGATGAGGTTCAGGGACATTGGTGTTGTGTAGACAGCGCTACCCTCTATGGCAGTTGCAGCCCAAGGATGGGATTTGTGCGCTTGCTTTCCAGGTTGCAGATCAGTGTTTTCTTCACAGCTTCATTCAGGTCTTGTCCCTGCTATGAAGTCCCAGATGGGATGGAGATGTTGCCTTCTTCTCATACACCCTGACCTGTTTCCTTCTCCATCAACAGGGCATCCGGTTCCCAAACCAGAGTTGACCCACCTACTGGAGTGTGGGCAGCAGCTATGGACAGGAAGGAGAGGCCTCTCACGTAGTACCTGCTCAGGTAGGAGCAGACAACTGGTCAGGTGGGGTCATGGGAGCCTTCAGCATGCAAGAGACCAGTGCCTCTGAACTTCTGTGTGAAACTCTTTGTGTCCTCCTGGTTACATTCATGGAGAACATGAATGAAATGGAGTCTCCTGATCTCTCAGATGAGGAATCAGGCCTTGAAGAAGAAAGTAACCTATCCAGGATCACTCACTTGGTAGAGGTGGGACAGAACAATGGCTTTCTGGCTCCGGAGGCCTCTTAACCACCACATAGTGCCTCTCAGCAGAGCAGAAGCTTGTCTTTTCTACCATATTTGTCCCTGAGTGTCTCCTTCCATCTTCCTCAGTCTTAATTCTCTTCCTTTTACTGTGATCCACCTTCAGTGTTGGCATTACTAGGCATGTGGGGCCCTTTCTTCCTTTAACCATTCAGTACTGTCCAAGAGTGACTCTACTCATGGCTGCTCCTTCCATTCCAACCCAGTGCTCCTTTCTTCTTTCTTTCTCTGGCAACTCTGATTCTCTATTAGGACCTAGCTCTTGGGACACCTCCTCTAGGAAGATGAATGTTTTTCTTTCATTACATAGAGCTACTTCTATGTGCTCTCCTAACACCAAGAGATATCAATTCTTAAAGCAAATACCCCACAGACAAGTGTTATCAAAAGTGTTCTCCCTTCTCTCCTCTGGACTGTGAGAAGGGGTCTCTACTCTAGATCCTTGGTCCCCTGGTCCAGCCTGCTCTTTGGATTTTCCCTTTAATGGTGTCAAGGGTACAAGGACCATGGACAGTCCTTGGGAACCCAGGTTATAGAGCTGCAGAATGCAGCAGTCCCAGAGATTATGCTGTTTCACCCTCACTTTGCCACTGAAGTGTTGAGTTTGTTTCTTCTGTATTGAGCAGTAAAAGTCCCCCTCTGTGTTGGCTTCTCTGCAGGTGACGGCACAAAACTTCAGATCAGGGACCCAAGCACTTCTCCACTGGTTTTGTCTGAGGGAGCTTTGCTCCAGGGAAGCCTGACTCAGGGATCTTCAGGGGACTCCAGGTTGGCGCATGCCAGAGGTTGGGAAGGGCTTTTGGAAATGCAGAAAGGTCAATTGAGACCTGGGACAGATGCTCAAAAGGAGACCCATCTTGAGAGAATGAGCCTTGAAAATGATGGTTTGGGGACAGATGATAGTCTGCACTCCAGGATATTACAGGAGAGAGTCTCTCAGGGACATGTTCTCCATGAATGTGACCCACAGGGACCAAGTAAAGGCCATATGATTCATGCAGGGAATAATCTCTACAAATGCAAGCAGTGTGGGAAAGGTTTTAACCGGAAGTGGTACCTCGTTCGACATCAGCGGGTTCATACTGGCATGAAACCCTATGAATGTAACGCATGTGGGAAAGCCTTTAGCCAGAGCTCAACCCTTATTCGGCACTACCTCATTCACACTGGGGAGAAACCATACAAGTGCATGGAGTGTGGGAAGGCCTTCAAACGCAGGTCTTACCTCATGCAACACCATCCGATTCACACTGGAGAGAAGCCCTACGAGTGTGGTCAGTGTCGAAAGGCCTTCACCCACCGCTCAACTTTTATTCGGCATAACAGGACCCACACTGGAGAAAAACCCTTTGAATGCAAAGAATGTGAGAAATCATTCAGCAACAGAGCACACCTGATTCAGCATTATATCATCCACACTGGAGAAAAGCCCTACGATTGCATGGAGTGTGGGAAGGCCTTCAGATGCAGCTCAGAACTCATGCAGCACCAGCGGATTCACACCGGGGAGAAGCCCTATGAGTGTGCCCAGTGTGGGAAAGCCTTTCACCGGAGCACATACCTCATTCAGCACTCTGTCATCCACACGGGGGAGACGCCATATAAGTGCCTCGAGTGTGGGAAGGCCTTCAAACGCAGGTCACACCTCCTGCAGCACCAGCGAGTTCATACTTGAAAGAAGCCCCCTCAGTGCTGTGGATGCAGAAAGGCCTTCACCCACTGCTACTCTTTTGTCCTTCATAAGGGGATCCACACTGAAGGAAGAAAAAAAAAAAAAAACCCTTTCAGTTTAAAGAATGTCGGAGAGGTTTTTTTGGTTGGCTTTTCAAACACATGAGTAGTCACGCTGGAGATGAAGCCTGTGAATGCAGTGAGCATGAGAAAGCCTCCAGCCACTGCTCTGCCACCACTCATCATTGGATTCATACCAGAGAGAATTTCGAGAAGGCAGATCACCTGTGAGTCCACCTCTGTCAACATCAGAGAAAGCTCTGAGGAAACACATTCTTAACACAACTATTGAAGAGGAATCTTACCTGCCATTTGAGAATTCATAACCAACAGGACCCACATCATTGCCAGTGCTGTGAGAAAACTTAGGTCAGCACTTAACTGTTAAGAGTCAGATGGAATGGGACCCTGTGTGGGCCTTATTATGCCCGTGAGGAAGATGTAGGAAATGGACAGTGGGTACTGTGCACTTACAAAGACCTCCAACCACAGCTCTGCCCCTTGGTTGACACTTAGAAAGCCATCTCAGCATTATTTTTATTTTATTTTTTTTAAGATTTTATTTATTCATTCATGAGAGACAGAGAGAGAGGCAGAGACACAGGCAGAGGGAGAAGCAGGCTCCATGCAGGGAGCCCGACATGGGACTCGATCCCGGGTCTCCAGGATTAGGCCCTGGGCCAAAGGCGGCGCTAAACTGCTGAGCCACCTGGGCTGCCCATCAGCATTATTTTTAAAAAAGTAAAAAGAAGGAGATGGAAACCTAAACTATAAATGGAAAAAAACAAATATCTTCACAAACTTTCAGATTTCCCTGCCAAACTTATTACAGTTTTTCATCAGTTTTATTTTTTTGGTGGGGGAATGTTTGAGAGAAAGGGTCTCAGCCCTTTGTTTTTAATGTGTGTTCACTGCTGTCCTGTGTCAGGAATGTTGGACAGTGAGGGCAGCTCTCTAGACGTTTGTTGCAAGCCTTGTTCCACACATCTGTACCCACAAGGAGCATCATTCTTTGTGAGGAAAGTGAAGGCTGAGTCATAAGATACTTGAACTTAGAAGAAGTTAGAATTTTGAAAATCACATCATATACCACTTGCCTCTGATGCTGTCTGAGGAGAGAAGGATCCATGTACAACAGCCACATTAAAACATGATCCATTGAGACTGTTGAAAGGTTTGATATTTATTTATTTTATTTTTTAAATTTTTTACTTATTCATGATAGACAGAGAGAGAGAGAGAGAGGGAGGCAGAGACACAGGAAGAGGGAGAAGCAGGCTCCATGCCGGGAGCCCGACATGGGACTCAATCCCGGGACTCCAGGATCGCGCCCTGGGCCGAAGGCAGGCACTAAACTGCTGAGCCCTGGGTTTGGTATTTATAAGTAAAACTCCTTGTTTGTGTGGCTTTTAAATGCCTGATGTTCTCCCTCCCTCACTTTTTCTTGATTCCATTCTGCTTGGTTTTTTTCTGTATCTTTCCCTGATAGTATGAGTGTGGCCTCCTCTGTTGGGTCCTAATGCCTTCCTGTTCCTGGGAGTTCACAAGTTCATTAATCCTGTGTCAGAGACTGGGCATTCCCCAGTCCCTCTCCACAGCTTTCTAGGGGTTGAATTATAGCTAAAACCATGGGAGAAAAACACCCTGCTGAGGCAAATTCATGGTAAGCCCAGAAAAACAAACACAGACTATTCTCATTGTCTGATCTTACAACTGGTTGTGTGAAGTTTTGTTACAAAATAAAGTTCCAGAGATTTGAACAGAAGAGTCCAATTGTATACATGCAGGTGTCGGATTTGTGTTGGCTTCACAGTTGCCACCATGGACTTAGTATTCCCTGGGTGCTGGCATTGGATGTGGTTGTTTGAAATTCATCCTGTGGATATTCCTTCAAGACTAGTTTTCAAGGTACACAAGATAATGTTAATGGGTTAAATAATGTACAGAAAAATATAAAGTGATCATTTCCTCACTTGGAACTTTCCTTAGCACCTTTTAAAAGACTACATACAGAGACGTCTGGGTGGCTCAGCAGTTGAGCGTTAGCCTTTGGCTCAAGGTGTGATCCCAGAATCCTGAGATTGAGTTCCACATTGAGCTTCCTGCATGGAGCCTTCTTCTCTCTCTGCCTGTGTCTCTGCCTCTTTCTCTCTGTGTCTCTCCTGAGTAAATAAAGTCTTTTTAAAAAATTTAAAAAATAAAAGGCTACATACAGTACACATTACATAGTGGGCATGTGCCTTTTTTTGTGGCACACATAGTATGACTGCACTTCTTGATGAGTTAGTAAGAACCCTAGTTTTTGTTTGGATAGTGTGCATAGTTTTCTGTTGTTTGGAAAGGAGAGTTGACTCATAGACCCACCCTCTTCCATCCTGTCTCTGGAGGGTGGTGTGTACTGTAGCTGTGTCTGTACTTGTGACTGAACCTTGGGTTCAAGAGAGTTGGAGAAACCCCTCTGTAAACATCTTGGTTTTCATCAAAGGATTTTCCTTTGCATGCCTGGGACACTGACCCCAGTTGTCCCAAAGCATTTTCCACTAGGTGAAGAAAATCTGAGAATTTGTTCCCTCAACTTCAAGGTCTTTCCATAGTCTTCATTTAACGTGTTCAGTGGACCTACTGTATACATGGTGTGTTCAGTAGAGACCTCCATCCTTCATCCACATGACCACTTTTTGTGTTCTGGGCATACTGTGGAACGTGGGGCACCCAGGTGATTGAGCCAGGAGTCCTGTCCATGAGCAGGGAGGGACCTTAATGCCAGTGTAGGTGAGCAGAGTACACTGAAATCTAAAAAGAGAAGGAAGGTGAGCACATGGCTTTGCTGGATTCTTAATCACCTTGAAAATTTTGACTCCAGGAACACCTGGGTGGCTCAGTGGTTGGTCGTTGGCCTTTGGCTCAGGGCATGATCCTGGAGTCCTGGGACTGAGTCCCACATCGGGCTCCCTGCACGGAGCCTGCTTATCCTTCTGCCAATGTCTCTCTCTCTGTCTCATGAATAAATAAATAAAATCTTTAAAAAATTGTCTCTTAAAATAGGATTCTTCTCCATTCTTGAGAGCACTCAGGATATTGATACAGAAGGGAGGGTGGTAGTGAAATAGTAAAGTTGGGATAAATAGCAGAGTGAATTCTTACAAATGGATAAGGAAATTAAAGTGACATTTAGTGCTCCCAAGAAATCATTTATTTTATATCTTATGTGAGTCTTGGACTTTTGTAGATATAGGAGATGCACAAAACACCAAAAGAATTTCACCCTTGTATAATTTACATTCTGGGTGAGGAAACAGCAATATTCCTAACTTCCATAGCATGTTAGAAGGAGTAGGTTCTGAGGAAAAGAGAAAAAGCAGGACAGCGGTGAAGAAAAACAGAGGACAGGGAGGACTCCCAACATTAAGACTGTTCACCTTAGGACTGGTGTAGATGATGTGTTCTGGCACGTATTTAAAGAGGCAAATTTATTTATTTCTTCCTTTCTAATGCATATATGAATACATTTCTTGCCATATAGCACTAGATAGTGCCTATAGAGTAATGTTGAGGGCTAGGCGATCCCAATTATTTTTCTTTTGTCTCTGATCTTGGGTGAAATATTAACATCATACATATGGCATGTGTTGCAGAATTTTTTGGATGTTTAAGGAAAATCTGTTCTATGCTTTGTTTTTTTTTAAAAAAAAAGGCAAGAATGTGTGAATTAACATCAAATTACATTTTATGCATCATCTGAGTTGATTATGATACATACCATTTTGTATGAAGTTGTCAAGCATATTGATTTTTGAATTTTTAAAGTTTTCAGTTTTAAACTTAGAGTAAGTGCAAGAATAGTGCAAGATAACTTTTGTATAAAATCTGCCCAATTAAACAATAGTTTGTTCTGCATCTTTTGTTTTATCAATCTCTCCCCACATACATACATGTGCATGTGCATTGTTTCTGAACAATTTAACTTTGGGAAATATATTGCCTCTGTACAAGTGAATGCTCCAGTGCATGTTTCCTAAGGGCACATTTTATGTTAGAATATCATAATTAGGACATTGAACATTGGTAAAAATACTATTATGTAATCCACAGTGCATGTTCAAATATTACCATTTGTCCTAATGTTGTCCCTTCATGTCTTTATGACATTCCCCCCAGAATGGCATGGGGAATTTGGTTGTCATTGCTCTCCACTTCTTTAATGAAACAGTTCATCACTATTTGTGTTCCTTGGATGTGACAGGTCATGTATTTTGTGGAATTTCCTTTTGTTTCTCTGATTCTTGATGATATTTTGCTTTTACACTGAAATCACAGAAGTGATACTGTATCTTTCATAGTACTTCATATCAGGAGGCACTTGGTGTCCATGCTTACCAATATGGATAGAGTAACTTCAGTCACTTCTGTAAGTTTGTGTTCTTGACTTAAGAATTACTATTTCCCTTTATTTTTGTAACATTTTTAAGTTTATTTGAGCAAAAAATGATTCAAATCAGGCAGCATCTAATCTAGCAGAAGGGAACTCCAAGGAGCTTTACAAAATGAAATACTTGTATAAAGGATGGGCATCCCGGGTGGCTCAGCAGTTTAGCGCCGCCTTCCGCCCAGGGCGTGATCCTGGAGACGGGTCGGGCTCCCGGCATGGAGCCTGCTTATGTCTGTGTCTGTCTGTGTCTGTCTGTCTCTCTCTGTCTCTCTATGTTTCTCATGAATAAATAAATAAAAATCTTAAAAAAATAAAGGAGAAGGAAGTGGGGACAAAGAAGTCATTCTTGGCAAAAAGTGGGTTGGTTTATACAAGGGCACTTTCCTTCAGGAGATGGCTGGAGTCCATCAGGCAAAGTACCTGAGTAGTACTAATCAGGAAATCCTGATGTTTATGATTCCATTTTTGGGAGACCCAAACTGTAACTTAACATAAACAATTCCATGATGGGCCTGTTATTTTATTTCCCTTTATTTTTAGTATATAATTATTCAGATGTTTCAAAACTATTGATTATACTGATCCACATCCCTATTCCACCCCATTATTTTAGTCCCCACTGATGATTTTCAAATCCCACATTAATTATTTGGCATTCTACTTTGGAAGTAAGTTTCCCAATAGATTGTGTGTTCACTCATTTTTTATTAATTTACATCAATATGGAGATCCCTGGGTGGCTCAGCGGTTTAGCACCTGCCTTCGGCCCAGGGCATGATCCTGGAGTCCTGGGATCAAGTCCCACATTGGACTCCCTGCGTGGAGCCTGCTTCTCCCTCTGCCCACCCCCTTCGGTGTCTCTCATGACTAAATAAATAAACTATTTTTAAAAAAGTATTTTGGTTTAATAGTTTTCAATCTAGCATTTCCAATCTTCAATCACTGGCTTTTATTTTGAACAAAAGGCAAACTTTCAAGAACTTAAGTAAGCATTTCTCACATTTACTATTTCTCACATTTACTATTAAGTATATTTTTTCCTCTGGGATGTCTTTTATTAAATTCAGGCTGTTCATATCATCTTTAAGGATTTTAATTTAACCTGTTAATTTTCCTGAAGAGTCCAGATAATTTTACAACTATTTTATAGTTAATTGTGATAAATCCTAAGACTGAATGCTGTCTTTGAGAATGTATAACCTTTTATCATTTATTTGCACATAGAAAATGATGACATTTATAGGCCTCCTTAAGTCCAATTAATTTTTATTAAAAAATTCATGCGCCATGCAACTGTTTCTTGAGCTTGTTTCCACAATAGTCTATGATGAGGCCTTGTCCTTCCTATGACATCTACTCACACAGAATCCACTATCAGGGCGTGTTTCTCTAAATCACCCTGGGTGGCGCAGTGGTTTAGCGCCTGCCTTTGGCCCAGGGCGCGATCCTGGAGACCCGGGATCGAATCCCACATCGGGCTCCCGGTGCATGGAGCCTGCTTCTCCCTCTGCCTGTCTCTGCCTCTCTCTCTCTCTCTCTGTGTGTGACTATCATAAATAAATAAAAATAAATAAATAAATAAATAAATAAATAAATAAATAAATCACCCTGAGTTAAATGCTTTCCAATTACCTACAGATCACCAATTAACTTTTGTCCTCTGTAGTCCTAAAGCAATTCCTAGACCAATTAGTTCTTGAATAGTTGATGAGAAAACACTGTATTTAAAATGGAACCTTAGCCCAATGACACCTAATCCATACACCTAATGAAGCCACAAAGGATACAGCAGTTTCCTTATCTGTGATGACTCTGTCTCTGACTCAGGCAGACACACCTCAGTGAGCTTTCCCAGACCTCCTCTAATGACTGCTGTCAGTTCTTTCCTGAACTGCATGTCTGTCCCCTGACCTTACTGGTCTATAGGTTCTACAGCAGATTTCATTTTTTCTAACAGTGAGTCTGAGATTATTTTATTTCTAGGGGTCTGCTAACAATTTATTCATACAACTCATCTATAAGCTAAGTATCCTCATGTTCATCTGAAGATGAGAAAACAGATTTACAACCCATAAACTCCAGCAATCATTCCATGTCACAACTCGACTCAAACTCATTTGCCCAAGTTTCTGACCATGTTCTTAATGGAAATACTTTGCATCCAAGTAACAGTGATCATCCTGTTTTTGAAGCTGAATGAAGCATTTTGGGAGTTTTTTCTTTTGCATTTTATGGATTGATCTGTTCCACTTGATTTTCAGTCAAGCAATCACTCTCTGAGTCTGTGAGGAATTCACACTCATACTGATTGATTTTGTGTTTTTGTTTCATACCTTGCCTCTTATGAGAGATCTCATTAGAAAGAAACCTGCTAGTTAAACCTAATAATCAACCTTCTTTTTCTTCTTTTCCAACTTTTTAAATTATTTTTAATTTTTATTTATTTATGAGAGAGAGAGAGAGAGAGAGAGAGAGAGACAGAGACACAGGCAGAGGGAGAAGCAGGCTCCATGCACCGGGAGCCCGACGTGGGATTTGATCCCGGGTCTCCAGGATCGCGCCCTGGGCCAAAGGCAGGCGCTAAACCGCTGCGCCACCCAGGGATCCCCTTCTTTTCCAACTTTTAATTCTTTCTCATTTCTGCTTTCTGGGAACGTTATGTATAATTCATCTTCATTAAATTCTTACATATTACTGTTTTTTTGGTTCTATCACTTAAGGACCACACTTAGGTTTATCCCAGTTTTTCTTCACACTCTTATGGTGAAATACAACATTTGCACAGGGGATTAATATATATTTAGAATTTAACAAATGTTCCTAAATAGATGCCTCTGTATCTGCCACTGAGGGAAATAAAAAGTACTAGTCAGTACAATTCAGCCATGTTGTTCAATGTGTCTGGATCATTTGTTTTCATTGCTGCTGAGGCGATTAAAACACAATCTGGGGCAGCCCCGGATTTCTGTTCATGTCTTCTGCCCATTTCATGATTGGATTGTTTGTTTCTTTGCTGTTGAATTTAATGGGTTCTTTATAGATCTTGGACACTAGCCCTGTATCTGATATGTCATTTGCAAGTGTCTTCTCCCATTCTGTAGGTTGTCTTTTAGTTTTGTTGACTGTTTCTTTTGCTGTGCAAAAGCTTTTTATCTTGACGAAGTCCCAATAATTCATTTTTACTTTTATTTCTCTTGCCTTCATGGATGTATCTTGCAAGAGGTTGCTGTGGCCAAGTTCAAAAAGGGTGTTGCAGGGATCCCTGGGTGGCTCAGTGGTTTAGCGCCTGCCTTTGGCCCAGGGTGCGATCCTGGAGTCCCGGGATCGAGTCCCACGCCAGGCTCCTGGCATGGAGCCTGCTTCTCCCTCCTCCTGTGTCTCTGCCTCTCTCTCTATCATAAATAAATAAATAAATAAATAAATAAATAAATAAATAAATAAATAAATATTTAAAAAAAGGGTGTTGCCTGTGCTCTCCTCTAGGATTTTGATGGAATCTTGTCTCACATTGAGATCTTTCATCCATTTTGAGTTTATCTTTGTGTATGGTATAAGACAATGGTCCAGTTTCATTCTTCTGCATGTGGATGTCCAATTTTCCCAGCACCATTTATTGAAGAGACTGTCTTTTTTCCAGTGGATAGTCTTTCCTGCTTTCTCAAATATTAATTGACCATAAAGTTGAGGGTCCACTTCTGGATTCTCTATTCTGTTCCATTGATCTGTGTGTCTGTTTTTGTGCCAGTACCACACTGTCTTGATGACTACAGCTTTGTAGTACAACCTGATATCTGGAATTGTGATGCCCCCAGCTATGGTTTTCTTTTTCAATATTCCCCTGGCTATTCGGGGTCTTTTCTGATTCCACACAAATCGTAAGATGATTTGTTCCAACTCTCTGAAGAAAGTCCATGGTACTTTGATTCCATATCTTGCTATTATAAAAAATCTCCAGTAAACATAGGGGTGTATGTATCTTTTCAAATGATTGCTTTTCATATTCTTTGTGTAAATACCCAGTAGTGGAATTACTGGATCATATGGTAATTCTATTTTTAATTTTTTAGCAATCTTCAAACTGTTTTCCACAATAGCTGCACCAATTTGCATTCTCACCAACAGTGAGAAGTTTCCTTTCTCCTCCACTTCCTTGCCAATACTTGTTTTCCATGTTTTTTTATTTTTGCCATTATGACAAATATGAGGTGATACTCATTCTGGTTTTGATTTACATTTCTCTGATGATTAGTGATGAGCATCTTTTCATGTGTCTGTTGGCTGGATGAGGATTTTCTTGGTATATATAATTTTAAATATTATTTATTTATTTATTTATTTTATTTTATTTTATTTATTTACGATAGTCACAGAGAGACAGAGAGAGAGAGAGAGAGAGAGAGAGAGAGGCAGAGACACAGGCAGATGGAGAAGCAGGCTCCAGGCACCGGGAGCCCGACGTGGGATTCGATCCTGGGTCTCCAGGATCGCACCCTGGGCCAAAGGCAGGCGCTAAACCACTGCGCCACCCAGGGATCCCGGTATATATAATTTTTACTTCAATACTTTAAGAACTTATCTCATGGTACACTTGCATTCACTAATCGTGAAAAGGAATGAGCCTGCTGACTTGGGTTCCTCCATTTCTCTCGTTGCGCATGTGTATAACTTCCTCCTGTCGTTGATTCTTATTATAATGGGTCTAGGCAGCATGTGTTTCTCCCTTCCAAACATTCCCCCTCTGTAATTTCCTCCTTCTTTGTGTTCTATTATCTAGATATATGTCTGCTGCTTCTTTAATGTGTCAAGTTTTAGATTTCCTTAAAATCTCCACTAGTTTTACCCCTTTAGGACTGTTTTGAGAGTTCCTCCACTGATACTTATTTAATAATATATATTTTAATTTATATTTTTATTTACATATGCTTTTAGTATATTATATATTAACATATATAATTTAATATATATTACTATTAATCCCCATCATATATATTCATACTTTTTTTTAACCCAAAAATACACTCTACACCAAATTTGGGGCTTGAACTCCCAACCTGAAGATCAAGAGTCGCATGTCCTACCAACTGAGCCAGCCAGGCACCCCTAATATTTTTTATTTTAGTCAAATAGACATTCTTTTTAAAAAAAGATTTGAGAGAGATAGAGAGCATATGCACATGCAGAGGTAGAGAGAGAAGCAGACTCCACCCTGAGCAGGAACTCTGATGCAGACTCAATCCTAGGACCCTGGGATCACGACCTGAGCTGCAGGCAGATGCTCAACTGACAGCCACCCAGGTGCCCCTGTATAGACATTACTATTTATCCTACCTATTGTGTACTTTATGAAACCACTGTATTCAATGCCCAGCATTTCTACATTATCACAACTTTTGTATTACTTATATCCTCCTAACTTTGAAAGTAAATCTTACATTTTATTTTTTTAAAGATTTTATTTATTTATTCATGAGAGACAGACAGGCAGAGACACAGGCAGAGGGAGAAGCAGGCTTCCCACCTGATGTGGGACTCGATCCTGGATCCTGGGATCACACCCTGAGCCAAAGGCAGACGTTCAACCACTGAGCCACCCAGGCATCCCTTACATTTTATTTTATAGCTATTTCTCCGGTGTTATACATAACCCCTTTTACAATGATTTTGCTTACAGGTAACTTTGAAAGAGAAAGCCAAAAAGTGACTTCTTTACTAGATATGAAGAAACTAGAAAATCATGGTAATGAAAATGTGGTGTCAAAAGTCAAGCAATCTTTATGAAGCAGCAACTGCCAGTCTAGATTTTGCTTGCCAATCTGCCATACATATGACTGGTAAGGAGACCACAAGCCCAAATGGATTGAGAAAGATTATTCCTTACACAGATAGCATAAGAAAACATTCTGTCACTTCCTGCTATGCCTGTCATATAGGAAGGACACCACAAAACCAAAGGGACCAGATTACAGGCAACATGTGCAGTGGGACTTGGTTGCTGAGAAGCCTATTCAAGCCTGGTTCTAAGTGTTGTTGTTTTTTAAAGATATATCCATTTATTTGAGACCCAAAGAGAGAGGCAGAGACATAGGCAGAGGGAGAAGCAGGCTCCCTGCAGGGAGCCCAATGTGGGACTCGATCCTAGGTCCCCAGGATCATGACCTGAGCCAAAGGCAGATGCTCAACGACTGAGCCACCCAGGTGCCCCTCTGAGTGGTTTTACATCCTTGCAGATGGACCCTATGGAGGGAGGGATTAAGTGGAAATTCCAATGTCTCACAGGAACCAGGGAGGCAGTGAAACTCTCATATACTGCTGGTAGGAAATAGAAAAACCCTTTCAGATCACTTTGGCAACTTCTTAAAAAGCTAAATATTCACCTACCCTATTATTCAGGCATTGCACTCATTGCCCAGAGAGCCAGAGAGGGCAGAGAGAGTAATAAAAATTGAAGTAAATATGTGTGGGCTTATATATTCATTATCACAATGATGATGATTTTGTGGATTATACTGTCAAATCTTACCAGACTATATACTTTAAATATGTGCAGTTTACTGCATGTCATTATAACTTACAGCTTTAAGCAATGGTTCAAAATAAAAGGATCTCCCACTCCATTAAAAAAAAAAAATCAGGCGTGGCAACCCTCTATTATCTCCATCACCTCTCTCTTAATGCTTTTGGAGGGATGTCTTACCTCAGTGGTAGCAAATATCTGAGCAATGGAAGATGTTTCTACCGTAGTCACAAAGGCCATATCACTGGACTAAGAGATCTCCCTTCTGTCCTTGTTTTCCTGTATGTACAGTAACAGTCTTAAGGCTAACAGCCATAGGAATCCACAAAACCTTTATTTTCTCTGCCAGTCACCTCAGCTATTCAAGACACACAGGCCAGGAGGTACACGCTCACCCGACACAGCCAGTCACCAGAATAACTGTGGGTCCACATTTAGGAGAGGAATGTTCCATCTAGTTTGCTGCAGGCTCCACCACTTCCTGTCAATTGTTTTCTCACCAATTATGATTCCCTGATTCTTTAGTGTTAAAACCAGTGATACTACCCTACTAAATTCTGGACACCAGGGCACATGGCGCCCCTGAAGGCCCTGGAAAAGAGATTTCCCTTAACCATGTGGTCATTACATGATACGCACTATAAGCAAAGGAACCAATCACAGAAACACTGGGGATTGTTGCAAGTGCCCACTCCTCAATGTGACATCTGGGCCCACAAAATCTTGGCATCCAGATTCAACAGTTTCTCTCCACTGTACAAAGCCTACAGTCTTTCCTTTGGAGGCCTTGAGCAACACTGCAAACTAGGCCCAAAATAAAGAGCTATTCTTTGCCATCATACTTGGCCTTTGAGGCACACCAAAGTTGGGAAGTCTCACACAGGCTGTTTACCCCTTCATGATGCTTTCAAAGGAACCCATTAGTGACTACAACCCCCAAGATTAGAGATGGCTTATACAATAAGGCCTTTATTACTGCACAAATCTTAACAAGATGAGGCAGGCAGTTTATGGGTTGGTGACATGGAAACTGGAAAAATCCTTAAGTGTCATATGAAAACAATGTCCATGAAGACAAACCTCTAAAAGCCACCAGAAGAATCCAGATAAAGTCTTTTTCTTTTTTTGTTTTTAAAGATTTTATTTATTTATTCATGAGAGACATAGAGAGAGAGAGGCAGAGACACAGGCAAGGGAGAAGCAGGCTCCATGCAGGGAGCCCGATGTGGGACTCGATCCCAGGACTCCAGGATCACACCTTGGGCTGAAGGCGGGGGCCAAACCGCTAAGCTAACCAGGGATCCCCTAGATAAGGTCTTTTAGGAGAAAACTGGGTCAGGTATACACATCATTGCAGAGAAAAGAATGACATCACCTTAAAGGCTCAGGCTGCTCATTATTATATCCAGAGCAAACACAATCTACTTTCCTAAACATTGGGGTGATTGATGTATACCATTGGGGTCTTTTAGGCAGTAGAGCAGAGATGACTTACACCACAGAAACGCAGTCACACAATTTCAGCAAGGACCCCAAGTAGGTTAGGAAGTGCAATACGGTTCCTAGAAGCTTCCCACATACCTGGAAACTATAGCGAATCTTCCCTGTGGTGTACATTCAGATATGAGTTCAAAATTAGGAATAGGCTCCCTCACAAAGGCTCTTCTCCAATATCATGACATCGAAGAAGTAAAAGGCCCGTTCCTTGAATGACTATGGCTTTGCTGTGTGAACTCTCTGGTGCCTGATGAGGTGAGACTTTCGGCTGAAGGCTTTCCCACATTCACTGCACCCATAAGGTCTCTCTCCAGTGTGGACTTTTTTGTGTCGGATGAGGTTACACCTTCGGCTAAAGGCTTTCCCACATTCATTGCACTCATAAAGCCCATCTGCATTGTGAACTTTCTGGTGCTGAATCAGCGCAGACCACTGTTTGAAGACATTCCCACATTTGCTGCACATATACGGCCTTTCTGTGAGATCGTGAACTTTCTGGTGTCGAATGAGGTTATACCTTCGGCTGAAGGCTTTTGCACATATGTTGCACTCATGAGGCCTTTTCCTGATGTGAATTTTTTCGTGTTGAGCAAATTGGGGGTCACTAAAGAATTCTCCACATTCCTTGCACTCGTGAGGCCACTCTCCAGTGTGAACTCTTTTGTGTTCAATGAGGTCAGAATTGCGGGTAAAGGATTTTCCACATATCCTGCAGTTATAAGGTCTTTCTCCAGTGTGAACTCTCTGGTGTTGAATGAGGCCAGAACTTTGGCTAAAAAATTTCCCACATTCCCTGCACTCATAAGGCTTTTCTCCAGTGTGAACTCTACGATGTTTAATGAGGGTGGAGGTGTCACCAAAACATTTTCCACATTCGCCACACTCATAAGGCCTCACTCCAGTGTGAACTCTCTGATGTTTAATGAGACTGGAGCTTTGGCTAAAGGATTTCCCACATTCACTGCACTCATAAGGCTTTTCTCCAGTGTGAACTCTCTTGTGTACAATAAGGCTGGAACTTTGGCCAAAGAATTTCCCACATCTGCTGCATTTATAAGGTTTCGCCCCAGTGTGAATTCTCTGGTGTTGAATGAAACTGGAGATGTGGGTGAAGAATTTTCCACATTCGTTGCATTTATAGGGCCTTTCTCCGGTGTGGACTTTCTGATGCTGAGAGAGGTTAAACCTTCGGGTGAAGGATTTCCCACATTCACTGCACTCATAAGGCCTTTCTTCATTGTGGACACTCAGGTGTTGAGTAAGAGTGTATTTGTGGCTGAAGGTTTTCCTGCATTTGCACCAACTGTAACAGCTTTGCCCACTGTGAATAGCTTCCCCACACACAGTGCAAGTGTGTGGTTTCTTCCCATTACGAATATCCTGGTGCTGGTGCTCACCTGAATTGGCGAGGAAGTCCTTATCAACTTCCCCACAGGTAAAGGATTTCCCTGACATGGGGAACCTGCAGCTCTTCATAAACGAAGTCCATTTCAACAGTTTCTCTCCACTGTGCTGCTTCCCATGCTGATGAAGGTTTGCAATGAAACTAATTTGTTTTCTACATGTGTATGGTCTCAATTGGGCATGTGTTCTTTGATCAAGAGTCATACCCAAAATGTCTTTTAAGACCAGAAAACATATCCCACAGGGGTGTGTCTTCTTGGGATATGGGCCTACGTGGTGAGTCCTAACCTGCGACACTTCTACAGAAGCATCCTGCTCAGAAGGTGCCTCCTCATCCTCTGCTCCATGCCAATAACCTGAAAGCAGAGAAATTCTAGTGAAGTACATATAGGCAGTAGTGGGAAGAGGCAGCACCATCATAATTACGTGTCCCTCACACCCATCAGAATGAGCTGATGGCACTATTACCAGGATGAAGGAGCTGGGGTGAGGGTAGAGAAGCTGCTATGCAGTACTGGGCCTCTAAAGGTCAGACAGTGAGGGAGACCTCTCCAGGTGAAGAACATAAGGATGGGGTGTGGCACAGGGAGGAGCAGCAGGATCTATAGCTCATTCCTCTGCTAATGGCTTTCAGTAAATCCTTGCTGACAACAGTGAAGAAAGGTGTATGTAAGCTCAGGAAAATCCAAGTGTAAGAGAGCTGGTGTTTAAGAACTATGTGAGGATATGTGACACTTAATGATACAACATATGCAGGTCAATGTGAGAAAGCACTACAGAGAAAGCAATAGAGGAAGTGGTGACATATGGAGTCCAGAGTGGTGGGAATTAACCAAATTCAGAGCAGAAATGACAAATTAGCAAGTGTCAAGAAGGAAAAGTAGAAATGAGGTGGCCAATAGCCACCAGTGAAATAGGACAGATTTTTGGTACGATCTGAATGGAGCCTTGATGAGCCTTAACATTTCTCAGGGCCAAGACTCCTCTGAGTCTAACTTGCCATGGCCTGGAAGTACCCAGGACTCTCCAGAACCTCTGATTCAGGAACTAAATGGGACCTGCATGATTCAAGCTATAAGGAAAAAGGCGGGACAGATGAATGGCCAGCACTGGCCCAGAGCAACTTAACACATAAACAGACCATAGGAAAGAAAACTAATATTACAAGGGAAAAAAATCCTCAGAGGAGGTTCCTGTGAGAACCATAGTCCACATAAGTACTGACCATGTCAGTGACTATAATTCCTGGAGCAGGCAGAGACAGGAAATGTCATCACCTATAGGAAGGGGCCAACATTGGGGACAGAGAGATGCCATGGACTTGGACAGAGTCAGCCAGACAGTGAAAGGACAAGCAAGGTGGAAGCCATTAGCATAACTGCAAGACTACTGACCCTGAATCCTCCCTGGTGAAGTGCTGGGACAGTGCACTCAGCCCAACCTTAACGACTGCAACTAACCAGGGAACTGGGGAAGGAAGCAGTGCCCATGTTTGTGATGGGAGAAATACAGAGCTATCCCTGGGATAAATGTGGAAAGGCTTAGCCCAGATCCCTGGGGAGGGAATGAGGGCCTTACCCAGGGTGGTCACAAGTGCAAAGTTCTCCAGCATCACATCGTGGTATAAGTGTCTCTGAGCCTCATCAAGGAGACCCCATTCTTCCCAGGAGAAGTACACAGCCACGTCTTCAAATGTCACACTGTCCTGTCAGGACAGAGACAGATGAAACCCCAAAGAGCCCCTCTCACAAGGACCCACAATCCCTTCCCCCACAAAATCACCCCATTGGCACCACCGGTGGTCTCTCCTCATGGTCCCATTAATGGCTGTGGTCAGCCCTCAGCAACAACAGCAGGTCATCAGATAAACACCATCTAAACTCTGGGCCTGGCACATTGGGCCCCACCCCTCCTGTTAAGCAATAATTCTGCAGTCCTCCAGACTAAGCGTCCCAGACTCAACCACATTTGAGCTTTTCATTCAACCTTAAGACTCCAATACCAGGACCTGGGGTCATTAGCTCATACTCACTCTCCACATCCCTGTGATGCATAGACTGCACCTTTTACATCTCTGGAACCCACAGATGCACTCCCTCCACCACCACAACTACCCTCCTGCCCCATAGCACAGGGATATCCCTAGATTTTCCTCACATCACTTGGCACACAGCATCGAGACAGTATTTGCTTGGCAAACTCAAATGGAATCCAATATTATCCAGACCTCCAATGGCTTCCAGTACCAAGGGAGTCCAGAATTCTGCTAGGAAAGCCTCCCCTTCATAGAAAGCTGGCTCTGTTCTTTGCTTCAACCTCACCAACCATAACTACATGCACACCTCAGATATCTTTGGCCCTCTTCAACTTCCTGTCCTCTCCAGTCACACCAAAACCTCATTCAAAACTAGCCCCACTGGTCCTCTACCCCAGGCCTAACAACCCACAGATGACCACAATGGACTCTGAAATAACCTACCATACTGACTGAAACACCTCATGCCCCACCTAAGGGTCACCACAAAATCCTAGGGAATATCATCCTGCCTCAATTACTCCTATGCCTCCACATTCCTCTCATGTTCACCTTTCCCTTGGAAACCTTGGTCACCTGCCAGATCATCATCCTGCCCACACTCCTCCCCAGCCACTTTTCTCCATCACCTGTGTACCCAATACCCTCCACCTTCAACCAGGTGTCCAAGTCAGAGGCTCAGTTCTTGGCCCACATCATCTTCTTGGACTGCTAACAGTATTACCACCAAGATCTGAAGATTCCCCCTTCTCAATGCAACCAACAGCTCCACCCTGGCTGACACAGCAGCAATCGTCTTTGGGACGCTCCATTCTGAAACCTTCCAAACTGTGTGCAATTGCCCACTTAATGCCTCCATTCAGTGGTCTCTGAAATGTCTCAGGCTTAACATGGCTGAAACAAACCTCCTGATACCCCACTGAAAACTGATCCCACTACCGACTACCCCAACTCCGTTGATGGAACTTACATCCTTCCAGCTGTTAAGACCAAAAACTTTGGGATCATCCTCAATTCCTTTCTGTCCTTCACCTTCCACATAAACAATCTGGATGACCTGATTTTTTTTTTAAAAAAAAAAAAAGGGTCCAGGATCCAACCACTTCTCCCACCTCGATGGAGAGTCCTCCCACCTCAGTCGCACGCCCCTTCCCCGCATCTAACGATACTCATCTGGCCTATTACAGCGGCCTCCTTCCTGGTCATCCTTCTCCCTCCCTTATCTTAGAGTCCATTCTCCACTATGCAGCCAGTCACACGACACCTGTTAAGACCTCGGCAAGATCACTTTACTCTTAATCAAACTTCTTATTACCTCCAGAATTGACATCTGACCTCAAAGGCAGCCACTCCAGCCCTGCCTTCTGTCCTCTTGTTTCCATGAGGAAAAAAAAGGAAACTTCAGTTCCCTTGGCACTCCCAGCTAAGTTGTACCTTCCAAGTATTTGCACATACTGGCACTGTTCCAAGGATAACCTTCCACACCTCTTTCAAGAAACAAGAATCCTTCCATATAATCCTCAGCCTAGTCTCAGGACTGTGCCTAGAGTTTCTTCAAGTGCCCCCAGACACAAGGGCTGGGAGAGTGGCAGACAGAGTCCCAGGAGACCTAAATTCCAGAGACCATATGGGAGGAGTCAGGACAGGTAAGGGACTGAGACTCCCTCCATTGACCTGTGTTGGCCTCATGAGCATTTCTTCAGCCACAGAAATGTGAAAAGAGGCAGGCCTCAGAGGAAGATCATCATGGCCAGGACCCATGGGCTCCGATAGATCTCCTCATATGCCTGCCCAGGCCCAGAGCCAGGTGACCTCCGCTGACTGTCTAACCTTTGTGCCCCAGCAAGGACTCTTACCAGGGGTGTGGCCTTGCAAGAGAACGCCACCTTCCGGGGCCTCACTGTCCTCGCAAAAACCCTTCCAATCTATTCTTTCCAAGCAACCTTCGAGAAACTGAAAACACTAAATCAGACCGTGTCCCTCTTCTCTTCACTACCATCCATGGCTCCCTCGGAACAGAGGTACAGCACCTCCGCCCGCCAATCCCGGCGTGACCCCGCTTCAGGCTACCAGTTCCCCGACCTCAGAGTCCTCCCGCCTCCGCCGCACCCCCAACCCGCCCCTCCCCCGCAGCCCGCTCGAGCGCCTCACGCCAGCGCGCCGGCGCTCACACGCTGGGCCCCTGCCCACCGCCGCCTCCCTGTCCCGGACACCGGAGCCTGGGCCGCAGGGCTGCGAGCGGGCGTCCCGCGCTCAGGCCTTGAGGGTCTGGGTGGGGGGAGGGTGGGGAGGGCCCCGGGGACGAAATGTTTACCTGTGCCGGAACCCTGGGCGCGGCCGCCGCCATCGGATTCGGATTGCGGAGCGGGCACCCGGGCTGGGGGTCTCTGTCCCAGCCCCTGGAAGGGGCAGCCTAGGAGGCGTCGCCGAGCCGTGGACCCCAGTCTTCGCGGTGAGGACGGCGCCTCCTCCCGCCCCTTCTCTGATCCCGTCACCTTACCAGAGTTGCAGTACCTCTAAACCAAGGTAAACCCTAAGAAACCAAAATGACCGCCAAAAAGAGTACGCCAGGAGTCCCCCCGCCCCAGTATGACGTGCTCGCGCAGAAGTGCCCTCTCCTGAGCCTTCATTGGCTCAGCGCCACCGGGCGTTCAGGCAGAGCATTCTGGGTAACGTAGTTCCCACAGCTCTGCAGACTCCGTCCAGGATGTCCCCATACCTACCTCCCCAGCGTCAGGAGCACCGCGAAGATCACCGGGAAATTGGCCTCGACCAGGAGAGACTGGTGCTTGCCTCCTTATGGAAGAGCAATATCCAAGCTTCTGGGTCCGTTGTTGCAAGCGATCACAAAAGTGTTTAGAAACGTGTTATTTCAGACTCCATGAAGCCGAGCTTGCGTCAGAGGCCAAAGAATATTCTTTCAGATGCCTCCAAAGGGACACAGATCCAAATGGACATATCCTTCCAGAGTTACTCAGTACAAAATGCGTTCTCTCCATAGCTGGAAGCTAATAAAAATCATGCTATTGCTTTTCAAATGTAAGTGCCCCCGGGCATTGGAGTCAGTTTCGTTAGCTTGAGAATCTTAGGTTAGGGGCAGGAGAGAAGACTCCAGATAGGGTTGTGGTAACGCAAATAGAGGAGGAATGCATGTTGGCCACTCTAAAGCAGGTGGACAAGGGTAAGCCAGGCTCCGGTTCCCTCGGAAAATATCTTTCCTGCTTAAATTACCAGTAATTTATCCAAGCCGATGAGCAGTACCGCTTTATACATAGCTTATTTCTGATTCATATCCTGAAATATGTTCTTTTTTCGAAATGAAAACGGCACAACTCACTACTACGCCTAAAGACCTACTAACAAAACGTATTCTTCTTGTTCTCCTCTTGCTCTAAATGTATCAGTAGGGGATCCCTGGGTGGCGCAGCGGTTTGGCTCCTGCCTTTGGCCCAGGGCGCGATCCTGGAGACCTGGGATCGAATCCCACATGGGGCTTCCGGTACATGGAGCCTGCTTCTCCCTCTGCCTGTGTCTCTGCCTCTCTCTCTCTCTCTCTCTCTCTCTCTCTCTCTCTCTGTGACTATCATAAATAAATAAAAATTTAAAAAAATTTATAAATGTATCAATAAAATGAATGAGGGAGAAGACAGGATTAGAAGGGAATAAAAGTTAAATCGAGAAAGGAGCCGAATAAATGTTTAAACTGAAAGGAGGGAAAAAAGAGCTCCTTTCTGTATTCTGGGTGTGGGTAGCCACTTTGTGCAGCTGATAACCAAGTTGACACTGAGAGGACAAATGATGAGTCATTCATGGGCAGAGCCAGATTAAAACAATCCAACACAAAGGTAGAGAAAGTGCCAAAAACAGAAGATGAGACGAGGCTTGGTGCAAGATCAAGTAGCCAAAAAGGGCAAGGGGGAAGGATAGAAGGAATAGGAGGGGCACAAATGTACGCACAAATGAGAGTGCCAAGTGAGGCTGAGATTTCTGATCTCACTTCTTTTGTATGTACACTTCTCACTACAGTGGGGGAACCTCAACCAGCCTCATTTCTAAGGACATTCTTTCTGTATTTATGACTCAGGTTTACATCTGTGCATCACAGTTCCTCCAGGAATTTACCTATACCTCTCTTCACCTATTCAGCATGTCCAGATGGGCTTGATTCTGCTGTCCCCAGTAGTCACCAGCTTCATGATAGCTCCATTATCCTACTTCCTCAAAACACCAACCGGGAGGCCATCTTTAACCACCATACTAACCCTCATAGCATTCATGGTCAAATCATGTGCTACTTACTTTCAAAGGACAAAAATATCTATTTATATCTCTCAACTAAATATGTTAATAACTGATCCAGCTGCCATCTCCTCACCTTTGATTTCTTATAGTTGTCTTTCAATGATCTCTCTACTTTCCTTGTTCATACATGGTCTAATCTTTAAATAGTAGGGAGAAAGACTAATCTTTCCCAAGTAAAATCATGTTACTTCCCTTTCCAAACCTTTCAATGCATGCTTCTTTACAAATTAACACCTCAATTATTGCAATAGGTTTAAAGAACAAACATGATCATATCTTGGCCCAACCCTACAAACTTTCTTCCTATAGGGATGGCTTGCTGCCTATTCCCTTCAAGCTATTGGCCAAATGCCATTATCAGAATGTTCTTTAATGCCCACACTGTCTAAAGTATTAATAGCTACTTCTTTGCCTTTATACAATTTTAAATTAAATTATAAATTACACGCTGTAAAATATACCCTTCTGTATATTCCTCTAGGGGTTTTTGACAGCATATAGTTTTGTAATTACTACCAAAGTCAATACACTGAATAGTTTGATCACACCAAAAACTCTTGTGCTCCTATGTGCCTCTGCCTATCCACAGACACTGGTAACCATATGTGATCTTTGTCTCTAGAATGTTAGAGACTCACTTTTCCAGAGATTCACATAAATGAAATCAAACAGCACAAGACCATTGAATCTAGCTTCTTTCACTTAGCTAATGCATTTGTGATTTATCCATGTTGTTTCATGTGTCAATAGTTCCTTCTTCCCATTACTGAATGGTAAATGACTCTAGGGATGCAGCCTAGATTTTACAGCTGAGATCCATTTGAACTTTGTTTACAGATTTTGGAAATTATTAGTAGAGCCGCTATGAAAATTGTGAATACATATTTTTATTTCACATAGGTAAATACTCTGAATACATCACAGGGTTTTATGGTGTTTTTTTTTTTTTTTAATCAATTGTCCCAGGTTATGTTCCACCAGCAATGTATGAGAGTTCCAATTGCCCCACAACATCACCAACACTCGGTATGGTCAGTCGTTTTAGTTTTAGCTACTCAAATAGGTAAATAGTAGTATAGCATAGTAATTTCATTTTGCATTTTCCACAGAACGTTATATGTGCATAACTGTCATTGGTCTATATTCTTTGTAGAGAGATGTCTGACAAAATCTTTTACCCATAATTTTAAATTATTTTCCTAATATTTGAGTTTTCTAGTTAATACTTTTTAAATATTCTGGATACAAGTCTTTTACCAAATGTGTGATTGCAGGTATTATCTGCCCATCTGTGGCTCATCCTTTGTATTTTTACAGAGCCTTTTGAAGAGCATTAGATCTTAATGGTGAAGAAGTGTAATTTCTCATTTTTTCTCTTACAACTTATTTTTGTTGTTTTATCTAAGAAGTATTTGCTTAACCATGGTAACAAAGATTTTCCTCCATGTCACTTGCTGTTTAGTATTAAGTCTATGATGCATTCCTTTTAAAGATTTTATTTATTCATGAGAGACAAAGAGCGTGAGAGAGAGAGAGAGAGAGAGAGAGAGAGAGAGAGAGAGAGAGGCAGAGACACAGGCAGAGGGAGAAGCGGGTTCCATGCAGGGAGCCTGACGTGGGACTCGCTCCCAGGTCTCCAGGATCACAACCTGGGCCAAAGGCACCGCTAAACTGCTGAGCCACCCGGGCTGCCCCTATGATGCATTCTGAATAAAAATTTAAAATAAGACTTACTGAAACATGGGTTAAATGATCAGGAAAAGAGATGAATTAAGGATGGAAAATTGCCACATTTTTGGAGGGCAATAAAGCAACTGTTAAGATGATGATGTTATTCATAGTGACAGAAAATGACTGAGAAGGTTTTGAGGATAAAAGCTGGGAAAACTCTATTTCAAGTACATTAAGATATCTGTCCGGGGGGCAGCCCCGGTGGCACAGTGGTTTGGCACCGCCTTCAGCCCGGGGCATGATCCTGGAGACCCAGAATTGAGTCCCATGTTGGGCTCCCTGCGTGGAGCCTGCTTCTCCCTCTGCCTGTGTCTCTGCCTCTCTCTCTCTCTCTCTCTCTCTCTCTCTGTGTGTGTGTGTGTGTCTCTCATGAATAAATAAATAAAATCTTTAAAAAGAAAGGCATCAGAGAGGCAAATTGGGATGTCAAGTAAAGAATTGGAAAAATAAGTCTGGGGTTCAGGAAATATCAAGGGTAATGGGGAAAAATCTGGAGTGGGCAACATCAACCAATCTTATTGAAAACTCCCCAAAATTAATTGATCTGAGGATGCAGAAGTAATCATTGGACAAAAATGGAGTCATTGGTGACTTTGACAGGAATAGTCTTTATGGCCACAGAGCCAACTGGAATGGGCAGTGGGAAGGAAGAGCCAGGAAACGTCAGGAATGGAATGGAGCTGTGGTGGAGGCAAGTGTTTTTATTTCAGAGGAATAGATATGAGACCATATTTGGATGCTGATGGGAGATGACAGAGGAGAGATAAAGTAGAAACAGCAGGGCTGAAACCTTTCAGATGTCAAGAGAAGGTAGGATCCAGAGCCCACTTGGGGAGGTGGAGCAGAAGCCCTTCTTAAATTGTGATGATGAGAAAAGAGAGAGAATGGGAGTCCTGTAGTGACCCATTTCAAGTAGGGGATGGGGATGCAGTTAGAAGGTACTCTTTATCCTTTTTTCTGAAGGAAGAATGACTTGAAGCCATCAGCTAAACATGAGGGAGCCACAGATCATGAGGTGGGCTTAGAGAGAAAGGAAAATCTTTGAATGAAAGTGAAGAACAAACATGGAGAGTCAAAGTGCCAGTCTTGTATGACACACATGGCATTCTGCAAAATAAACACATAATTATAAGCTCAGTGAATATTCCCAAAAGCTACACAACTCTTAAATCAGCATCTCAATCAATAAAAGGATAGCATCAGAAACCTATCATTTCTGTCAGCCTCATTTTCAATCCACCGAAGGGTTCTAACATCTATTTAAGTCAGGGGGAAAATATATGACCGCATATAGTAGTCTCCCTACCATGTTCTAGGAATAGTATCCATTTATTTTTACACTATCGTTTTTGCTAATTAATGGACCATTCACTAATATACGAATATATGAAATTATCAAGAGATGCGGAATCCAGCAGAGGAAACAGAAGCCAATGAACTTGGGGGATCTAATCTTGAGCTCCATCCAAATACAAAGACTAGATCCTGCTTAATAACCTGGAAGCCATTGAGACAGCAATGAAGGAAACCCCTGTGCTCACTCTGTAATCCTAAAAAACAAGCTTACATGCAGCATCATCCAGGAAATACTGGGACCCAAAAGCCACCATCATTTGAGGGATCCCTTTGGAAAAAAGGACCACAGAGATGCCTAGGTGGGCTTAGCAGTTGAGCATCTGCCTTTGGCTCAGGGTGTGATCCTGGAGTCGAGGGATTGAATCCTGCATTGGGCTCCCTGCATGGAGCCTGCTTCTCCCTCTGCCTATGTCTCTGCCTCTCTCTCTCTCTCTCTCTCTCTCTCTCTCGCTCTCTCTCTCTGTCCCTCATGAATAAATAAATAAAATCTTAAAAAAAAAAAAAAAAGGACCACAATGTTGGCTAGGACCAGACAGAGAATCAGGTTTATGGGTCTCAACTTGTGTCCAGTGAACAAAGAGAATGTATAAAAACAAAGGAGGGATGAATTTCCTAGGATCCCAATTCCAGTCTGAGTGAGGAAGATAATCCCCAATTCCAATTTACCAGAACCCATTTTATTAATGTCTAAGGGTTGTTGAATTTTTTCAAAGTCAGTGGACTTAGTAGGAAAAAAAGCAAAAATAAATCTTACCATCACTATAGAGTAATTTTCTGTGCTTTTCCTAACTCATGTTTTCTCACTTGAGGCAGGGTTTAACACTATATGCTTTTTTGTGCTTAATTGTGCAAAGATGATTCCCTGAAGAATTGCATTAGAAATAGCCTCAGGGTGGTGCCTGGGTGGCTTGGTAATTGAGCATCTGCCTTTGGCTCAGGGCATGATTCGGGGGTCCTGGGGTTGAGTCTGCATCCGGCTCCCCACAGGGAGCCTGCTTCTCCCTCCACGTGTGTGTGTGTGTGTGTGTGTGTGTGTGTGTGTGTCTTTCATGAATTAGAAAAAAAAAGAAAAAGAAATAGCCTCAGGGTCCATCATCTCTAAGGATCAGGTGAATGAATGAGGACACAATTACACAATTGACCTCCGTAACTGTAGAGACTAGTAAAGATCTCCAGACACTGATCCAGTCAGTATTATTTCAGAATTTTTCCCAACACAATTGAGAAATTATAGAGCATTTTTTTTGAAATTATAGAGCATTTTGAGAATGAAGCAAATTTTTATGCTTACTTATGCATCTTTCATTTACAAGAAAAGTCTAGAATGCAGAAAGCTACCCAGCTGAAACAAGTCACGTAGGTGTATAAAAACACACATAAGGACAGAAGTCAAACATCTGTGGAGTATGCCAGTTCACCATGTGTTATGAGCCAAACTCATTCACTTCTGATGGGTGAATTTTAGGCAACCATTTGATTTTGGGTAACCCTCCTTCCATAACTTCATAGAATAACTCACTACTGCAACCCACTTCCACAATCAAATTTCTGGCTTTTAAGATTAAATGCTGTATTAAAGTATTTATGTGTTTCTCAAACTTTTAACATGTATAAAACTGTGCTATGGCATTTATTAGGATTCTATCTTCTTTTTCTATGTTTTACTGATGATATTTTGAGGATCTTTAGAAGCCCTGTGATTTTTATTTTGGATTTTGCACAGCTTTGTGATTTTTAGGAACACATGGGTTCCATTACAGCACAACAGATTTTGTGGACTTTCCTCCAGAATATTTTTTTTTTAAGATTTTATTTATTCATGAGAGACACACACACAGAGGCAGAGACACAACACAGGCAGAGGGAGAAGCAGGCTCCCTGTGGGGAGCTGGATGCAGGACTCGATCCCAGGACCCCAGGATCACACTGAGCCAAAGGTAGATGCTCAACCACTGAACCACCCAGGCTACTCTCTCCAGAATATATTCTTAAGTAAAAAACTATTGTCCAGAACACACACACACACACACACACCCTGTGTACAACTAGAAGAATCTGTATGAGATCAGTGATAGTATTAATGCAAATATCACTGTTGTGATACTGTAATATGGTCTTAGAAAATGTCACCATTGGAGAAACTGGGTAAAACACACAAAGGATCTCTCTGTAACAATTTTTACAACTACATGTAACTTGCAATTTTCACGATAAATATTTCAATTAAAGAATCCAAGGGATACATATATCACAAAAATTTCTGCAAAGTATCTTAAAGCCCTTCACTTATCTTGTTTTGACAAAATCAATTGGTATTGATAAATTTTAAAAACAAGCCTTTTAATTAAAATTTGGCAAAAATAACACTAAAATTAGGTAATTTTATGGAAAATGGAAGCTACTAGTTAAAACTACTAAAACTATGAGGATCAGAAGTAAATAACAGCAGAAACAACCGTATAGCCCAAGATGATATGTGTAAACACATTTTTATAATATAAATATCTTATTTAACATAATTCATAACTCAAACATATAGATATTTTGGCAATATTCCTAACATGTCCTAATTATAAAATATAAAAATAAGTTAAAAACAAGGGAAATTAAGACAATGGGTACTAACATTTTATACTGAAAATGAAAAAAATAGAAAAGTCCAGGACACAGAACAAGAAGCATCTAAAAAAAATCACATACATATGTGTATGGATATATTTTTACTGAGAAATATAAATACCAACTTAATAAGAAACTATTTATTGGAGTGCCTGGGTGGTACAGATGGTTAAGCGCCTGAATCTTGGTTTTGGCTCAGGTCATGATCTCAGGGTCATGAGATAGAGCCCCGAGTTGGGCTCTACTCTGAGCAGAGAGTCTGCTTGGGTTTCTCTCCCTCTGCCCTTCCCCCTACTTTTGCTCTCTAAAATAAATAAATAAATCTTTTTAAAAACCACATTGATCATGTACTTCATGTGTTTCAGGCACATTTCTAGAAACATGAAATGTATCAGTGCACAAAATGTAGATAGAAATTTTCCTCCTGGGGCACTTGGGTGGCTCAGTGGTTGACTATCTACTTCTGGCTCAGGTCGTGATCCTGTGGTCCTGGGATCGAGTCTCACATCACACTCCCTGCAGGGAGCCTGCTTCTCCCTCTGCCTATGTCTTTGCTTCTATGTCTCTCATGAATAAATAAATAAAATCTTAAAAAAGAAAAAAAAAAGAAATTTCCCTCCTGGAACTTACTCCATAGTTGATGGAAAACACAATACACAATTCATAAATGATATTGAGTTGCATACTGTTATAGAAGGTGATGGGTCCTAAGAAAAGAAGAACAGTGAATGGGTGATGAAGAAGTTAGGAGTTTGGGATGGGTTGAGGTATCTATATATGGCCTTGTAGTGAAGATAACAACACAGGAAATATTTTAGGTGGTTTATTTCTTCCTTGACAATTGTTACATATCCATCATCCTGCCTTACTGAATGAAACTAGAACTCCAGGATAACTGAATAAGACAAAGGAGCAACTATTTATTTTCCCTTTGTTTTAATCCCATAGGAGAATCTTAGTAATGGATGATAAGGTATAATATTTGTAAGAGTTTCTTTGTAGACATCATTTATAAAATTAAGGAGGATTGCTTCTATCCTTAGTATCTATTTCAGTATAATAACACTAAACAATTGGCAAATTGACATTTTTTTTGGCAAATTGAAATTTGATGTAAAAATTACCATTTATAATATCATCAAATGTAGAAAATACTTGGAGATATATAAGATACGTGAGGCCTGTAAAAAAAACTAAAAAAACACTGCTAAGAGGGACGCCTGGCTCGCTCAGTCAGTGGAGCATGTGACTCTTAATCTTAGTGTTGTGATTCAAGCCCTGCATTGGGTGACTTAAAAATAAAATAAAATAAAATAAAAGCCCCATTATGAAAAATTCAGTAAGATTTAAGTAAAAGGAGACATATGATGTTTATGGATTGGGACATTCAGTATTTCTTCTAAATTGAAGATTAAATGCAGTCTCAATCAAAATCCTTGTTGGCTTTTTTGTGATATAGAAATTGACAAGTGGATTCTAAAATTCATATGGAAAGGTGAAAGACCAAGAATGACCACTCAAATTTGAAAAAGAAGACAGTTGTAGGAGTACATGACCTTGATTTCAAGACATATTACAAAAACAAATTATTCAACACATAAAAGTATAGTATAAAATAGATAAATACAACAGAAGAGAGTCCAGAAATAAACATACACATAAATGATTAACCTTCAATGAATATACAAAAGTCAATTTAAGGGAGAAAAAAAAATCTTTTAAATGAATATGGGTATCATATTTTTTTTCTTACTTTTTTTTTTTTTTTTTTAAGTAATCTGTATGCCCAAATTGGGGACCAAACTCATGACCCTGAGATCAAGAGTCACATGCTCTACTGACTGCCCCTGGGTATCCATTTTTTTTTTTTTTTATTCATTCAGAGAGAGAGAGAGAGAGTTAGGCAGAGACATAGGCAGAGGGAGAAGCAGGCCCCATGCAGGGAGCCCGATGCGGGACTCGATCCCTGGTCTCCAGAATCACGCCCTGGGCTGCAGGTGGCGCTAAACCGCTGCGCCACTGGGGCTGCCCTATTTTTTTTTTTTTTTTTAAGATTTTAGTTCTTAATTCATGAGAGGCACAGAGAGAGAAGCAGAGACATAGGCAGAGGGAGAAGCAGGCTCCTTGCACAGGGAGTCCAATGGGGAACTTGATCCCTAGACCTGGGATCACACCCTGAGCTGAAGGCAGATGCTCAACGGCTGAGCCACCCAGTTGTTTCCATATATATATATTTTTTTAATTAAGAATGTCCAAAAGTTAACTGAGAAAGGCACATTTACATCAGGAAAAAGAAAAAACTTAAAGAAAGAAACATAGGAAAAGGGGATCCCTGGGTGGCTCAGTGGTTTGGCACCTGCCTTCGGCCTAGGGTGTGGTCCTGGAATCCCGGGATTGAGTCCCATGTCAGGCTCCTTGCATGGAGCCTGCTTCTCCCTCTCTGCCTGTGTCTCTGCCTCTCTCTCTCTTTCTCTCTCTGTGTCTTTCATGAATAAATGAATGGAGTCTTTTTTTTTTTTTTGAATGGAGTCTTTAAAAAAAAAGAAACAGGAAAAATTATGTCTTTAAATTTGGCAAACTTTTTTTTTTATATATACAAGATCAAAAGGATATTCAGTAAAAGAACAGACAAATTAGACTTCATTAAAATTTTTAAAATTTTTCACAAGAACAGTGATTGAAAAGACAAAATCAAGACTGGAAGAATATATTGGCAAATATTTAAAATAGAAGATTTTTATCACAAATCCATGGACAAATGTCAAAACTCAGTAATTACGATGGAAAATCATAAACAGAAATTTCAAAAAAGAGATGATGGTTGGAAATTAACACATGAAAAAACCTCTAAACACCATGTCATTAGGGAAATACAAATTAAAATTACAAGGTGTCACTACTCACCTATTACATTGCTGAAATTATGAAGCCTGACCATACCAGGTATAAAGATATAAAGAAACTGGAACTCTAGTAATGGTTTTTCTGGTGAGAATGTAAACTGGTATCACCACATTAGATTATCCTTTATTAAGTTAGACATTTAACTACTCTGTGACAGAGGAATGCACGGCTACATATTAATCACAAAGCCCTGCAATCTTTCCCAGGACACCTTGAGAAGCAATACAAATTAAGCCCAAATAGGAATAGGAACTATTTTCTGACTTGTACTATGCCTCTGATATTGACATTATGACTCACAAAAGCTATTCACCCCTTCACACTGGAAACCACAATTCTATCCTAAACCTAACCCCAGAGGGCACATAACCTCCAAACTTCAAGGTGACTTAAACAATAAGGTGTTTGTCAATGCATGTCAATGCACAACAGTCAATGGTGATGCAAACAGTTTCCTAGCTGGGACACTTGGAGTAGGCATAAATCTATCATGAGAATCACATGAAAGAATAGCATCATGAAGGAAACCTCTGTGATCCACCAAGAACCCAGACTGCTCCTATCAACAAAGCTGGGTCTCATCTACACCCCATGCAGCTCAATTAGGCTATTACATACAATTTCCTTCAGGATTTGGAGCACAAAGATCTATATCCCCTGAACACACTGGGAGACTGATGTATGCTGTGGGGACATGCCACATGGTAGAAGAGAGATACCTTCTGCCAGAGGCACTCTGCACATTAGAAAGTCAGGTAAGCTGAAGAAACAGTCGCAAGCACCTGATACCTGTAGTGATTTGGAGATCCTCATAAATAAAAGGTTCAATTGGTCAATCCCATGGAAAGTCTACACTCTGGTGTGTTGTTAAACTTGGTGACAGTGCATTCCCTTGTGGCTAAGGACTTTCTCTACTATGAACTTCCCAGTGCCTGATGAAGCGTTATCTTCCACCAAAAATCTTTCCACATTTGCTGCACAAAAAGGCTTTTCTCCAGTGTGGACTTTGTGGTGCTGAGCAAGTCTATCCTTGAGGCTGAAGGCTCTCCCACATTCATTGTACTCAAAGGTTCTTTCTCCAGTTTGGATTCTCTGTGCTCAAGATTTCTTTTATAAATGGAGGACATCCCACATTCATTACACTTATTCAAGGCCTCTTTCCAGCATGAACGTTTTGGTGTTGAACATGAGTGGATCAGGGATCAGTGTCTAAAGAATTTCCCACATTCATTATATTCATATGGCTTTTCTCTAGGTTGAACTCTCTGGTGTTCATTGAATTCAAACCTTTTTATGAAGGTTTTCTCATGTTCGCTACATGAGAAACTTTTCTCCGATATGGATTCTCTGGTACAAAAGAAATATTTTTCTGTGGATGAAAGATTTCCACATTTACTGCACTGAGACGGCTTTTGCCAGTGTGGACTTTCTGGTGTTTAAAGAGGGTGGAGCTGTGTCTGAAGAACTTCCCACATTTGCTGCACTCAAAAGGCTTTTCTCCAGTGTGGATTCTCTGGTGCTCAAGAAGTCTGCTTTTGTAGACAAAGGACTTTTCACATTCACTGCACTTATAAAGTCTTTCTCCAGTGTGGATTCTCTGGTGTTCAAGAAGGCTCTTTTTATAGATGAAGGCCTTTCCACATTCACTGCACTTATGAGGCCTTTCTCCAGTGTGAACTTTCCAGTGATGATTAAGACTAGATTTGTGTCTCAAGAACTTACCACATTCGTTACATTTGTAAGGCTTTTCTCCAGTATGGATTCTCTGGTGCTCAAGAAGTATTCTTTCATAGAAGAAGGACTTTTCACATTCATTGCACTTATAAGGCCTTTCTCCAGTGTGGATTCTCTGGTGATCAAGAAGTCTCCTTTTATGGATGAAGGACTTCCCACATTCATTGCATTTATAAGGCCTTTCTCTAGTGTGAACTTTCCAGTGATGAATAAGACTGGGTCTGTGTCTAAAAAATTTCCCACATTCATTACACTCATAAGGCTTTCCTCCAGTGTGGATTCTCTGGTGCCTTAGAAGTATTCTTTTGTAGAAGAAAGACTTCCCACATTCACTGCACTTATAAAGCCTTTCTCCAATGTGGATTCTCTGGTGCTCAAGAAGTCTCTTTTTATAGATGAAGGACTTTCCACATTCATTGCACTTATAAGGTCTTTCTCTAGTATGAATTCTCTGGTGCTCAAGAAGTCTACTTTTATAGATGAAGGACTTCCCACATTCACTGCACTTATGAGGCCTATCTCCAGTGTGAACTTTCCAGTGTTGATTAAGACTAGATTTGTACTTAAAGAATTTCCCACATTTGCTACACTCATGAGGCTTTCCTCCAGTGTGGATTCTCTGGTGCTCAAGAAGTCTTTTTTTGTAGATGAAAGACTTTTCACATTGACTGCACTTATGAAGGCCTTCTCCAGTGTGAGCACTCTGCTGCTCTGTGAATTTAACCTCTTTGTGGGAGGCTTGTCCATGTTCACTGTGTTGCCCTTGCAGAGTGTGAGACACTGCGCTTCTCCCCTTGCCTCTCTGTGGATGCTCTCTGCTGGGGATGGTCTGGTGCTGGACAAGGCCCACAGTCCCCAAGGAAACATCCTCAGCCTCTCCACAGGTGAAAATACTGTCTGACACAAGGATTTTGCTCTTCATGAACAAAGCCCTGTTCTCTTCCCTTTCAAGATCCTTCTCTCCATGATTCTGCTTCTGGTGCTGCTGTAGGTATGAAATGAATAAGCACAGTTTTCCACAAGGCCCACAAGTGCATGGTTTCAGCCCAGCGTGAGTTCCTTTGTGTTCAGCCAGGTACAAGATGGCTTTCTCCACTGAGACACACATATTGCAGGAATGAACCTTTGGGATAGATCGGCCTGGGTCTGAAGTTCTGGCCTGTGGCACTCTTTCCACAAAAACACATTGCTCAGAAAAAGCTTCCTCAGCTTTTACCCCATGCCAACAACCTAAGAGCAGAAAAATGCTGGTGAAGTGTATATAGACTTTGGTGAGACAGGACAGCTCATTACAAATGTGTGTAGGACACAACCAGGACTGAGTCCATGGGTTTGTTTTCAAGACAAAGGAGCCAGGATCAGGTGGAGGAAGGGGACATTGTGTAGTACCAGGCCTCTGATGGTTATAAAACAGTGTGGGGGGAAGGAAGGTACAGAGGCCTCAAAACTAGCAAGAAAGTAGGATACAGTGATGTGCCAGCAAGACAAGTCTGGTACAACTCCCTCCTCTGCCAGTGGTTCCCAGCAGGACCTTGTCTGCTTATGACAAGTGTGTGCTATAAAGAACGTGTATCCCACCCCAGAAAAAGGCAACTGCCTCTGGGTAGCTGGTGGTCAATCATTTAGGGCTATGCGCACATGTCATGACATATGGAACGTAGGCTAATGCTACAGAACATTACAGAGAGAGAGAATTGGGTAAAGATGTGAGAGACACAGATGTAAGGGACAGTCAGGACTAGAAGTCACAGCAGAAATGACAAGTGGGCGAAATGTCAAGCATGGGGAGGAAGGACTGAAATGAGGTGTAGCTATGAGTCTTGGCACTAAAATAATAGTGAGCAAAGGACATTTTCCTGGTATGGCATATACAAAGTCCTGAAATCATGCCTTCCCACTGCTCCAGGCCTAGGATCCCATTAATCTCCTTTCCTATGGTTAGAGAAGTATCTGAGCTGTTAGGCACTCAGGAGTCTCCTCTACTTCTCAGCTCAACCTAGACAATTTTCTGGGACCCAGCAGATTGAAGTCCTCAGGAGAAAACAAGGCAGTTAAGTGGCCAACATTGGCCCAGAGTGACTGTACTCATAGACTACAAGAATGAAATCTATTACTAAAAGGATTTTGAAGACAGTCTTGCAAAAAGAATTAGGGTTGCCTGTAAATACTAACCATGTCAGTATCTATAATTTCTAAGACAGGCAGTACACAAAACAGAAGGGGGCAGAACCTGTGATACAGATCTTCCACAAATGGAAACAGTCAACACAGAAAGGTAGGGCAGGGATCCCTGGGTGGCGCAGCGGTTTGGCGCCTGCCTTTGGCCCAGGGCGCGATCCTGGAGACCCGGGATCGAATCCCACGTCGGGCTCCCGGTGCATGGAGCCTGCTTCTCCCTCTGCCTGTGTCTCTGCCTCTCTCTCATTCTATGTGACTATCATAAATAAATAAAAATTAAAAAAAAAAAAAAAAAGAAAGGTAGGGCAAAGCTAATCAGCATTGATCAGGCAGGTACAAGACTCAGAAATCAAACCTTTCTGTGAGAGGCTTCAAGGCAGATCACCCTGGGAGTTTCATAAAGCCCAGGCCCAGCAAACACAACACCCATGCCAAGAAACCAGGGAAGGAAGCAGTGCCCATGGCCCAGCTCTGGGAGGGACAGAGACCCTTGGGAAAAGGAGCAGAGCACAGCCCCACATAAGACAATGGTGTGGAAATGAGGTTCCTTACCCAGAGAGGCTATAAGTGCCAAGTTCTCCAGCATCACGTTGCAGTACAGGTGTCTCTGAGCCTCATCAAGGAGCCTCCACTCCTCCTTCGAGAAGTACACAGCCACGTCCTCAAAGGTCACATGGCCCTGTTGTGATGAGGGCAGAGGAGTGTATAAGCAGGCTCTCTAACCAAGACCCCCCAGGTCATGGCCATGGCTCCCCAACTCAGAGGAGATCCTAGGTCCTTCTCCAACTCAGCTCCTCAACTCAGAGGAGATCCTAGGTCCTTCTCCAAAGGTACCTGCTCTTCCTCATGTCAAACTCCTCACTCTGTCAATCATCAATAAGAACTGATGGGGAGAGAGGTTCTTACGTGTCTGTGCTCTAGGCTGATGCACAGAGTGAGTCCCTGCCACTCTCTTCACAGTCAGCTCCCCTGGGATCATACAGATCATGCCCCATATGTCACTTATGCTCAGCCTTCTGGCTTAAACCCTGAGTACAAGGACACTCAGTGTGTCCTCACATTCCCTCCCCATTTGCACAGCACTCCTCTCTCACATGCCAGGCCAAGACCACTCACTCACGATACCACTGCCACCTATGGTCCTTGTCATAGGCACCTCTCTGGCCTCCCCATATGCCATTCTGCACATGGCACCCAGACAGTGACTGGCAAATGCAGCAGGATCCAGGGTTACCCCAGGCCTCTAATAGACCCTCCTGCCAAAGGCAGTCCCAGCAATGCTCTAAGGACTGTCCCACCTGGCCTGGCCCTGTCTTCCAACTTCAGCCACCTAACCTGTGTAGAAGTCAGACCCCCTAAGCCCTCCTCCTCAGTTTTGCTTGTACTGTTCCCATACCAGTCACACTTTTCCTCTCTCCACCTCCTCTCATTCACAGCCCAGTCCCACTTCTCCTACCGCAGCCCAAGAGACTATCAGCTGACCTCCTTTTCCCTTTAGCTAATCTGTTACCATCTGACACTCTTCACGTTCCAGCAAGAGCTGTCACAAAACAACCTGTGGAGGGAAAAAAGTACCATGCCTTCCTCAGTGTCATCTGATCTCCATTACTGCTCTGCCTTTCAATAAATCTTGCATCCAACCTCTGGGAATCCTGTGCCACCACCTGGACCCCCATAGAAGGCCTGTTCCCTTATACCCCCCACCCCCATACACACACACTCATGGTCACTGTACTTCCTCATGTCTTAGTGATGACAGCCATCCCTATCCAAGTGCCCAAGTAAGTGAGCCAGTCCATGGAGAATATCCTTCCATCCTTCCCCTGTAATGGCATTGCCAACATGATCTTCAGAGTGTATCCTCTTATATGTGACATGGTGTATATGCCTGCCACCACGGAGGGGTATCTTCAAACCTGAACCCCTTCCTTGAAATCCAGATGTGTGTTTCCAGATGCCCACTTGCCACCTCCACTCAGGGATCCCTGCAATAGCTCAGAAGCAACATGGCAAAAACCTAACTCCTGATAGCGCTGCTGTTAAATACTCCTGCTATGGACTTCCATTTCAGGTATGGCACTTTCACACTTCTGGCTAAAGCCAAATATCCTGGAGTAATCCCAGATTCTCTCACTCTGTACAGCAGAAAATCACCCCTACTTACAAAATAGCCTAGAAACAAAACAATCTTCTCCAGCTAGGAGCCAGTGCTATGATCTGGCTACCATTAACCTTCACCAAGACTGCAGTCTCCACTGGGGTCTCCTTGCCTCTACCCTCACCCCCACAATCTTTTTTTTTTATTAACTGATTTTTTTTTAAATTTTTATTTATTTATGATAGTCACAGAGAGAGAGAGAGAGAGGCAGAGACATAGGCAGATGGAGAAGCAGACTCCATGCACGGGAGCCCGACGTGGGATTCGATCCCGGGTCTCCAGGATCGCGCCCTGGGCCAAAGGGAGGCGCTAAACCGCTGCGCCACCCAGGGTTCCCCTCACCCCCACAATCTATCCTCCACTCTGCAGGCAGAGAAGCCTGTTTAGACCTAAGTTGGGGGGATCCCTGGGTGCGCAGCAGTTTAGCGCCTGCCTTTGGCCCAGGGCAGGATCCTGGAGACCCGGGTTTGAATCCCACGCCAGGCTCCCAGTGCATGGAGCCTGCTTCTCCCTCTGCCTATGTCTCTGCCTCTCTCTCTCTCTCTCTTTCTCTCTGTGTGTGACTATCATAAATTAAAAAAAAAAAAAATTTAGACCTGAGTCGGATCACTTCCCTTCTTTGCTCCAAACTTTCCACGGACTCACTACCCTCAACAGAGGTTCAGTTCCTCAGGCTGCTACTCGAGGACTGACTCTTGCCCCTCAATCTATTCCCAACAGATTTAATGGAGTTCTGCAGTTCAGTGAATACTCCAATGTGGACATGCTGGTTCTTGTGCCAGGAAACCTTTCATCATTTCACCTTATGGACTAGAGAAACGGGACAATTCAACAGGACTTCTGACCTTGATTAAGGACCCTGTACCTGAGATGACCCCAGGGCCCAGAAAGAAGGGCCTCAGCATGTCACTATCTCCTTTATGTATGTACCAGGACCATGGAGATGGGGATCAGGGTCAGTGAGCACAATGTCCCAGCACTTACTTCTATTATTTCAATGTGTTCACCGTCCTGGAGGCTCCCTGAATCTCACTGCTCAACAATACCTCCAACTCCTCTCCCATCTGGGAGGTGGGGGGTAGCTAAAAGTCGAAATGTCTTTTCTTTTTTTTTTTTTTTAACATTGTATTTATTTATTTTAAAGTAATCTCTCTACCCAACTTGGGGCTCAAATTCACATCTCCAAGATTAAGAGTCTCATGCTTTTCCAAGTGTAAACTTCTAATCATCCAGTCTTTCTGGTGATCGGCCTCAACTTGAGGCTATCTAGGAGCCTCACCCCAAGTCATCTCATTAAAATAAACGCTGCGTGATAAAAGGGGACAGTTAGGATAACAAAAAACACTCCTAACACCCAGAAAATTCTAAGGGTTTTAGGAGATATATGGTGAGTCCATAACAAAATCCAAATACACACACACACACACACACACACACATTTTATCACAAAGGCATATTGTCATTTTAATCAATTACTACTTGCTTACATAAGCTTAACTGGCTAAAGCTATACCGTTTTGAACTTGTACTTCCTAGGTGAGCTGAGGCACCTATGAGATCTTGACAGCCTGGGCTGCTCCACCAGCCAGGCTGGCCCTTCCTTGACTCCACAAGGAATAGACTGTCTGCTGAGTCTTCAGAGCAGAGAATCTCACACACTCTCACACCTTCCCTTCCATCTCCATCCCAGCACGGCTCCTTAACTCATTACACCCTCCCCACCCCCCATAAAGTCCTGGACCACGGGACCCTCCCATCTGCAGGCACTCTGCCTGCCCTCCAGCCCCAGACCTCTCTTCATCTCCGGACCTATCTCACAGAAGGGTCCAGATTTTCCATCCTAAATCTGAGATGCAGGCTTGGTCCTGGTTCCAAGACTTAGGCTGTCATTATCCGAACATCACTGAGCCAGCTTACCCCAGTCCAGACCAGAGCTTGTATGTCACTTCTATTTTGGGAATCTCGGAAACAGTATGTCCAAAATCCAACTCCTAAACTCTCCCTGACACCTGCTCCTCACACCAGTTTTCTCGCCTCAGCGCGTCCAGATATTCAGCCAAAAGAAAGAAAGTTTTTCATCCTGTCTTTTATCTCACAGCCACACTCGCTGCAGCAGGAGATCCTGCCAATTTTAAGATTTACCAGGAATCTTATTACTTCCATTCTTTCAGCCACCGTTCTGGTCCAGAAACTAGCGTCACTGTTTCGAGTCTTTTGCAGCATTCTCCCCCACTCCCTAAGTCCGTGCTCCCCGGAGCCTTTGAAAGACTGAAACTTCAACATCCTCCCAGGTCCCTAGAGCCCTCGCTCCGACAGCTCAGCTGCTCCCTGCAGCGGGAGTGGGACCCCAGCTCTCCCGGGCGCCCCCACGGTCCCTTCCACACGCATTCCACGGGCGGCCAGAAATGGGGGCCCCCTCCTCGAACGCCCCAGGTTCTGGGACCCGGGACCTGGACTGCAGTGTCCTGAGCAGGAGACTTCTCCTTGGGAGGAGTCCCGAGAACACACTCTCACCTGAGCCAGGTACTTTAGCCTGGTCGTCGCCATAGTAACCTGCGGGTTCAACCGGGCCAGGGGACGCGGGATAATGGCGAAGACTGGCAGGTGGCCCCGAAGTGGGTCGCTGCAGCCGCGCTCACACGGAACCTCACACCCGCTCCGTTGCAGAGCACACAAGTCTTTCGCTCCTCTAGGATCTAGTTTCCTCCGCCAGACGCACGAACGAGCAGCCGGTGGCCGGAAACACTGCCTCCAAGCGAAACAGGCGGGAACTCCCACCCCCTGGTCTTTCGTCCTCGTGGAAACACCCACTCTCCTCCCTTATTGGTCACTGTGATCCGGAAGCTTGGCGCACAGTCTTCTGGGTAATGTAGTTCCTCTAATCCTCAGCTTGCTGGAGGGGTAAAAGCCACTCCCCCTCGCCTGCGTATTGATGGCCGAATGGTCCTAGGAGAGGACAAATTAAGACCATTGCAAGTGGGGCTCCTGGGTGGCTCAGTGGTTGGGCGTCTGCCTTTGGCTCAGGTCATGGTCCCGGGGTCCTGGGATCGAGCCCTCCATCGGGATTGCTGCGGGGAACTTGCTTCTCCTTCTCCCTCTGCCTATGTCTCTGTGGAACCTGCTTCTCCCTCTGCCTATGTCTCTGCCTCTCTCTGTGTCTCGTGAGTAAATAAATGGAAAAGTCACGTCGAGTTGAGTCTTGAGTCTTAGAGTCTTTGAGACACCAAAACCTGTTAACCTTAAAACAAAACTGCTACTTATTTTACCAGCCAAAGAAGGTCTTATTTGGGAATAAAAGATAATTATAATCCAAGAGAAACAAACTACAGCAAAATCGTAGGCAGTCGAAGGACAAAGGAGAGGTTCCCAGTTTTATGGAGAAAAGGAGTGAGTTGGGAAGGCTGTTATAAACTACAAGTCCCATGGAATAAACTGGGAGTTCGAAGAAGAGGGACTTTTCATTGGCTGAGTTGTTGAGTTGGAGGATAAGGGAAGTTTTCTTTCTTCAGCTGGGATAGTGAAGTAGTATCCATATGCTAGGTCAAGTGTATCTCTTCCTATTGGGTCTGCAATTGACTGTCAGTGGTAATGCATAAGAGCTCCCTTTGCTGAAACTTCCTCACTACATTTTAGTGAGGTTTCGGGATTATTGCTGTTCATGTATATGTGTGAATATATATACCTATTAAAAGAATCCACTTTAACCTGATTTCTCAACATAAACATTGATGCAGGATTACAAACCATGCAAAGTATTAGAAAACTGAGGTAAGACACAGTCCTTAATTTTTGAGTTTTTAAAAAAATATGTTTTCTTTCTAAAAGACTGTCAAGAGAAAATCTTGGAGAAATTTTCAAGTAAGAAAAATCAAGGCATTGGGGCGCATGGGTGGCTTAATCAGTTAAACCCAGTTCATGCTCTCTCTTGCTCTCTAGCAAATAAATAAATAAAACCTCAAAGGAAAAAAGAAAACTCAAAGCATTGAGATTTAGAATAAAAAATGTGAATTATATACAACAAAATTCTGTTGCCTACGGTTTTGCTAATATGCTTCATCATTGGCTACAAAGTAAAGATATAAAAGTAGATATCACATATCCATTGTTGACACTATTTGCTAATTTGCCATGATTGGTGGTGTTGCAAGGCAAAACCACTAAGAGATTGTGCTAAAATACTATTTTGGGGGTGACTGGTAAGGTGAAGTGTTGAAAATAACAGTTATAAATGTAAAAATCCCAACATTATTTTGGAATTTTAGAAGCTATTCATAAATTTCATAAGTCAGTATGTATAGAAGATACAAAAATTATTTTAATATAAAAGCTCGTAGTGATTTTTATTTTTTTCAAAAAAAAGATTTTATTTATTTATTCATAGAGACACAGAGAGAGAGAGGCAGAGGCACAGGTAGAGGGAGAAGCAGGCTCCATGCAGGGAGCCTGGCGTTGGACTCGATCCAAGGTCCCCAGATCAAACCCCGGGCTGCAGGCAGCGCTAAACCGCTGCGCCACTGGGGCTGCCCTCATAGTGATTTTTCTATAAGAGATTAATGCAAGTCATAAATTTAAAATAAAACAGTGTCTTATTGGCATAGTAGCATGGAATTCAAGTTCAAAGCTAGCAGAGTAAATTATAAAGGTAATAAAGAGGTGCTCACATATTTAGATTCCTCCTGCAAGACTGGGCTATGTTGGTGCTAGAAAACATTGGAAAATAGCTGCTTAAAAAATTGTTCAGGGGAAATAGGGTATCCAACTTTTAAACTCCAATTTTCATCTCTGCTCTTAATCATAGAAAAATTAATTTCAGATAAAGAAGGCTTAAGTGGGAATAAAAAATACATAACTCATACAAGATCATGGAATAAAACATATTTGTGAAATGATAGAGCAAGAGTTCTCAAGCCAAATATAAAATTATCAAAACATATACACAAACTATATGAAAATAATAGGCTTCTATTACAAAAAACATAAAAATTGAAATAAGAATGCAGATGAGAAGATATTGAGTCATCTATAATTTTTAAAGAGTTAATATGTGTATATAATAAGTACATTTAATAAATCCTACAAATAAGCAAGAGAGAGATTTAAAGCCAAAGACTGCAAAGCTCTTGCATACCACTTTAGAATTCCAAAACTCAAACAATAGTTTTAAAAAATAACTTTATTGGCACTCAGGAAAATGAAAAAGGACATTTACGTGATATGATGTGTAGTCAGTCCTGAAATCATGCCTTCTTACAGCTCCTGCTCACCAGACCCAGGACTCCATTAACCTTTGGAAGTTTGTCACCCTGTTAGGCACCCAGAGCTCCCCTCCAACCTCTGGCTCAAGTTGCGTAACTAAATGGGACCTGGAAGATGTAAGTTTGAAGATAAAAACACAGCAGTCGAGTAGAAAACACTAGCCCAGGGTATCTCAACTCATGAGACTACTAAAACAAAAATTTATTATACAAAGAACCTTGAAGGAGAGGCTTACTGTAGCACCCTAGTGGTGTGTGGCAGTCATGACCACTCAAGTGCCTGTAACTCCCCAAGACAGGCAAGGTCCACACAATATCTAATAAAAGAAGGGGCAGAAATTGTGACACATCTGACACAGGTGGGAACAGTCACCTTACCAAGAAGGTACAAAGCCAAATGCATTGGCAGGACAGGCTACAAGACTCAGAAACCAAACCTTTCTGTGAGAGGCTTCAAGGCAGAACACCCTGGGAGTTTCATAAAGTCCAGGCCCAGCAAACACAACACCCATGCCAAGAAACCAGGGAAGGAAGCAGTGCCCATGGCCCAGCTCTGGGAGGGACAGAGACCCTTGGGAAAAGGAGCAGAGCACAGCCCCACATAAGACAATGGTGTGGAAATGAGGTTCCTTACCCAGAGAGGCTATAAGTGCCAAGTTCTCCAGCATCACGTTGCAGTACAGGTGTCTCTGAGCCTCATCAAGGAGCCTTCACTCCTCCTTCGAGAAGTACACAGCCCATCCTCAAAGGTCACATGGTCCTGTTGTGATTAGGGCAGGGGAGTGCATAAGCAGCCTCTCTAACCAAGACCCCCAGGCCATGGCCATGGCCCTCCTCCTCAGCTCCCCAACTCAGAGGAGATCCTAGGTCCTTCTCCAAAGGTACCTGCTCTTCCTCATGTCAAACTCCTCACTCTGTCAGTCATCAGTAGGAATTGATGGGAAAAGAAGTTGTGTCATCTACTTTCTAGAACTGGCATATAGAGTACCTACTGCTCTCCTGAGAGTCCATTCCCCTGGAGTTCCTCAGATCATTCCACTTGTGCTCATCTTCTTTGCTTAAATGCTGAGAACAAAGACCCTGAGTAATCCATTCAAACTCCCTTCCCATTTACACAACACTCTTGGGACTGCACCTGCTCTATCTTCACCCTATGGCTGCTACATCCCCAACACCATTGCCACATTCTGGTTCATGTCACAGGCACCTCTCTGGCTTCTCTACAAGACATCTGCATGTGGCATCCAGGGAGTGCTTGCCAACTGCAGCCAGATTCAGAGGCACCTCAAGCCTCTGATGGACCCTCCTGCCAGAGGCAGTTCCAGCCTGCTCCTCTGCTGCTCTGAGGACCACCCCACCTGGCCTGGCTCCTGTTCCATCTTCAGCCAACCAGACCCTCCATGGACTTCAGGTAGCCTAAACTCCCCTTCCTTTTCAGTGTTGCATGTCCTATACATACACTCATAACATCTTTTCTCTCCACCCACACTCATTCAAAGTCCAGCCTCATCTGCTCCCATCACATGCCAATGTAAAAATCATTGCTTCCAGTAAAAATCATTTGCTTCCAAGCTAACTTGTCAGCTTGTCTGAAATTCCTCTGGCTCTACCAACAGTTATCAAAAAAAGAAAAGTCTGAGCCTGGAGAAGGAAGAAAAAGTATCAATCCTGACCTCTGCATCATCTGACTCCCATTACTTCCTTGTCTCTGAACAGATCTCATAACCACTTCCCCTTGGAAGCCTGTGCCAGTAGCCAACACTCTCCCCTCTCACCACCACACCCCCTACGGTCAGTACTGTCCAGCTTCTGTTAATGAAGACTGCCACCACTACCCAGATGCCCAAACAAGATACCCAGTCCTTGGACAATAACCTCCACATTCTTCCCCCTAATGGCACTGCCACCATAACTTAAAGAGGCCTCCTCTGAAATAAGACATATTATATATGCCGTTAACCTACTCAGATATCTTCAATCTCAATCCCTCCTTTAAATTCCACATTTGTTTCTAACTGCCAACTTGACATCTCCACTGAGGGGTCCCTGGAATATCTCAAACCGAAAGGGCAAAAGCTAACTCCGTGTAGTGTGCTTCTGTTAAGTACTCCACTACTGACTTTCCATCTCAGTACCCGATGCTTCCACATTTCAGTTGCGAAGGCTAAATATCTTGGGGGCATAACTGACTGTTCTCTCATCCATATAGCAGAAAATTGTCCCTGCTAACCAAACAGATTGAGAAACCAACCTCTTCTAGCAGCTTCAGAGCCATTGCTATGAACCATCAACTTTCCCCTGGACTACTATAATAGCTTCCCCTGGAGTCTCTGACCACCTCAGGCTGCCATTCCAGGGCTGATTTCTGGCCCCACCCGTCAGTTTTCTGGGCCCAGCAAATAGAATAGGGACCCACAACTCATTCCCTGAACACCCAACTCACTGTCATCTCTAAGCATCTGAACTCACTGGTTCCTGTGGCCAGGTAACCTTTCATCACATACTACTGGTTGAGTATTGCCCCAGAAAGTGAATCCTACCCCTGACCCCATCTCAGTTGACAGTGTTTCCATTCTTGCAGGTGTTAAAGTCAAAACCCTGCAGTCATCCAGCTCTCAGAGATCCAGATCAAACCACCTCCTCCACTTCCACAGCCACCCCTCTGGTCCAGCCACCGTCAAGGGTGTTCCAGGGTGCTCCAGACTACTGCAATTATCTCCTTCCTCATCCCCACAATCTGTTCTCCACTCTGAACTCCTCAGAGGACTTGTTCATGATAAGTCAGATTACCTCCCTCTTCTGTTCCAAATTTTCTGTGGCTCCCCAGACCCTCAGAACAGAGGCTCAACTGTTCAGCCAGCAGTTCTAGTTCTGAATCCTGCTCCTCCCTGTGCCCTCCCCATTCCCACTAAAGTAGACTGTGATTACTTGAACACTGTCAATTCAGCCTCATCTCCAAGTATTTCATCTCCAAGTATTTGCAGAAGACTCTTCCCATCCCAGGGACAACCTTTGGACTCATGTTGCATTGGTTGCCAGAAATGTGGACTTTATCATTCAAGCCCAGGACTGGATTCAAGACAAAGGAATCTGGGCCAAGGGAAGCCCCCAAAGTCCCCAGACCTAGAAGTGGGAGCTAGGAAGGCAAAGAGTTCATGAAACCACTCTCCCGGGGATCCCTGGGTGGCTCAGCGGTTTTGCGCCTGCCATTGGCCCGGGGGCGTGATCCTGGAGTCCCGGGATCGAGTCCCGCGTCGGGCTCCCGGCATGGAGCCTGCTTCTCCCTCTGCCTGTGTCTCTGTCTCTCTCTCTCTATGTCTATCATAAATAAATAAAAATAATCTTAAAAAAAAAAAGAAACCACTCTTCCCTCAAAGAGGGAACCATGCAGATGGGGGTCTGGGTGTGGGAGGGCTTGGGGCACTATCCTTGCCGGTGCCAGCTCCATGCGGACTGAGCAGGGTGGGGCAGGGTGACCTTGGCTGAAGGTCACAGTCCTGCAAAATGGTAACCCTGCAGTCCTGGGAAAGCTCAGCTTAGCCCTCCATCATGGATTTGGGGCAAACAAAGCTCTTTTTCCTTATAGTGCAGCAGTGATGCCCCTACAAGCTCTCCCTCCACGTCCTGGATTAGAAGCTAAAATTCACAATTGTTTTTTGCATCTGTAATAAAGAAAACAAATTCTCTGTATGTCTAGGGAAAATACTTTTGGTAATATGGATTTGGTTTTAAAAAAAAAATTATTTTTCAATTCTGCTTCATATGATGGATCTGTTATGATTTTTAATTGTTGGTTAATTTTTTAAATAGTTTTATAGTTTGGTTAATTGTTTTATATAATATTGTTGCACAGTGAAAATTGTAATTAATGTTGATTCCTAAGTCTGGCTTTTGAATGTATTCCTTCAAACTGTTCTTTCTTCCTCACTAACACATCTCTCCCTTTATTTTTCATTTATCCTTGAACTGTTTCCTTATGTAAGCACACACAAACATACACATAAACATATATACTTTTCTTCTCTCCTATAGAAGTAGAAAATTGTAGGAACTATTCCTGGTGTATAAAAACCTGCTTCTTTACTTTTTACAATCAGTAAGTAGTACTTTGTGTCAATGAGTCTTTGTTTATCTGACAAGTTATTTCTTGTGCTTCCAGTTCTTTTTTCTTTTCTTTTTTTAAGAATTACTGCTTCAACTAATAAACTCTTCCATGTTTCATAATATATTTTTATGCTTTATTTTATGTGGGCATCGTGGGTTCTGTTCCACATTGAGGGAAACGTGAAGATGGTAATGCATATACTTTTATTTTCCCCTATGTTCTGGAGTGTGATTAAAATCCATACCACTAGACATTGCTGTCATGGGTTTGGCCAGCTCAGGAATTACCTTCTTTACTCAGATGGAAGCTGGGATCCTGGAAAACGCCATTCTCCTTTTTCTTTCAACTTCACTGTGGTCTCGGGGCATGATCTCAGGCCCACAGTCCATAGTCTTAACTGACTAGTCTCAGTCAACCCCTTGGTGCTTTTCTGCAAAATGAGACAATGGCAGCATTTGGGGGGGAATATTTCCTGGATGAAACTGAATGTGACTGTGTCTCTTGTTTGCAAAAAATTGATGAGGCTTTTTGTTTTTTGTTTCTTTGTTTGTTTGTTTGTTTTTGTTTTGTTTTTTCAGTACCACCTACCTTCTTAGTGACTTCCAGGGTTTTGTTTTTGTTTAAGATTTTATTCATTTATTCACGAGAGACACAGAGAGACAGAGACATAGGCAGAGGGAAAAACAGGCTTTCCACAGGGAGCCCAATGCAGGGCTTGATCCCAGGATCCCAGGATCATGACCCTAGCCGAAGGCAGACACTCAACCGCTGAGCTACCCAGGTGCCTTGGCTTCCAGGATATTAAGCTTTGCCCCAATTTCTCCAAGTGAACGGAGCTGAAAGTTTAATCTTTCTGTTGTCTCACATATCAGTTTGTTGTATTTACACCAATACTTCCATGTGCTAATGAATGTGTTTTTATAAAAAGTCTTAAAATCAGGGTTGTGTAGTCTCTAATTCCATTCTTTTTCTTTTCTTTTTAAAGATTTTATTTATTTATTTATTTATTTATTCATTCATTCATTCATTCATTCATTCATTCATTCTGTGTCTGAGAGACACAGAGAAAGAGGCAGAGACATAGGCAGAGGGAGAAGCAAGCTCCCTGTGGGGAGCCTGATGTGGGACTTGATCCTAGGACCCCAGGATCACAACCTGAGGCAGACACTCAACCACTGAGCCACCCAGGTGCCCCTTTGTTCTTTTTCAAAGTTATTTTGGCCATCCTTGGCCCTTTATATTTACATGTATATTTTAGAATCTGCTTGTTAATTTCTACCGGAACAAATCTACCAAGATTTTGTTATAGATTTCATTTTATCTATAGGCTGACTCTGAGAAAGTAACATCTTAATAGGAAGTATTCTGGTCCATAAATATGGTATATCTCTCCTTTTATTCAGTTCTTGAGTAGCTTAACTCCAAGCTAAAATCCTATATGTGAACTTTCAGGCCAACTATAGGCAATTAGAAAGACTTCACCTGGCAAGCCTTCTGGGAGAAAGCTGCCCTCCCCACAACAGACCTGGTGCACACTCAGGGAGTTACAACCAATGAATCAGTCTCTTTCTGCCCACAGCCATGCTCTTTTTTTTTTTTTTTTAAGATTTTTTTTTTTTTATTCATTCATGAGAGACAGAGAGAGACAGAGAGAGAGAGGCAGAGACACAGGCAGAGAGAGAAGCAGGCTCCATGCAGGGAGACTGACATGGGACTCTATCCCAGGTCTCCAGGATCAGGCCCTGGGCTGAAGGTGGCGCTAAACCGCTGAGCCACCCAGGCTGCACCACAGCCATGCTCTTGTGCGTTATCTGCATTCCTAGACTAGGGAACTCCATTCAGAGTCCTTTTCATAGGTGGGAGCAAAGGCAGGACTCCACTGAAATAGTATTCAGGCACCTCCACCAAGACCCTCTTATGGGGGGGATTTGAAGACCTTCCGCACTTTGACTTAGTACTCAGCACTCCCAGTACTCCTAGCCATTCCTCCTTCCCCCACTCCTATACACTGGGTCTGTTAAACAGCAGGAGTCGTTTGTACAGGGCTACCCTGGCAGTGAGATCCCTAATCTGCACTAACCTAACTGACCCTCACCCAGTGCAGTTCTGGCAAGTAAAATTCATGGAAGCCAGCACCCTTTTCTCTTTTGGGCCTCTCATACTATCTTAGTAAGTGAATAAAGACTTGTTACTTTTTGTTTTCCTCCGTAACCTATTTGACTTTCACCAACAAAAACATCTTATTTATCTTATTTATCTCTAAGTGTTAATATATCTGACACTATTAGAGGCTGCATTATTTTTAAAATTAGCAGTTATTTATTGCTATTATGTAGAGTAACACTTAATAGTTCTAGTAGTTTTATTTTTAGTTTCTAGGGTTTTGTAGGTCCCATAGGATTTTCTCCATATACCATCACGTCCTCTGTTAATAGACGCAGTGTTACTTCTTTGTTTCTAAATTGGTCACATCATCATTCCCTTTTTCTTCCTTCACTGCCCTAGCTAAAAACCTTTAGCAAAATACCTTCCTTTAAAGAGAATTACTTTAGCAGCATCTCACAAATTGTAATGTGTTGTGCATTTGTTCTGTATAAGGTAGAATTAATTCACTTGGACTGGAAAACTTCAGTGTTATATCTAGGAACTCTGGATGTCTGGCTTTGAGTGTTTGTTGAGATAGGGCAGTGGAACTTATTATGTTCTGTTTAAAGTCCAAAAATCCCATGGGGGCACCCAAGGCCAGTTTGTTTACTGATGGTTTTCAAAACTGCATAATTGATTAGGCATCTTGATTTTACTTTTAGCAGAAGGGCATAAAATCCTTTTTGGTAATACTGACTCAAATTATCCTTGATCTGAAAATGAATCATATCCATGTGCAAATAACAATTCTGCAAAGCTGTGCCTGGGTGACCCACGCTCCTTTTATTTTACTACAGTATGTCCTTTAACTCCCCTCTCTCTCCCAGCATAGGGTCCCCCTGCCTTTTTTTAGTTTCAGGTGTAGAATTTAGTGAATCATCACTTACATAGTGATGAAGTTTTGGAATATAGGTGAGATCCAGAGCCTATGACCAAGAAAGAATTCTTGAGACATCTTTGGTGCAAAAATGGTGGTTTTATTAAAGCACGGGGACAGGACCCGTGGGCAGGAAGAGCTACTGCCA